TTTTTATAGAAACCTATATGTTTTTTGTAATTTTTTTTACGAATCTGTCTTCTTTTTTTCTCTCAGAGATCTTTTTTCGCGATCTTTTTTGGCCAATAGGTTGATTGGTATAGCGCCTGTAATTTCTAGTAATTCGTAGAGCCATGGTTCTTTGCACCTCCAGCAGAGATTTGACCTGCAGGTGTCTCAAGGGTTCCTACCTAGACCTCACACCCGTACAGCATGATTGCGTGGTTTATCTTCATTAAAAGTTTTCGTCTTGATATTAAGGGGCCGCCCACGATTGACATGAGTCTGCTAAGCGCCTTTGTAGTCTCGGTCGCCCGCTTAATCGTCTCTTGTATGTGAGCACTGAATGTCAGTTTTCAACTTGCGTACTCGGTGTTTCGAGCTGTGACGACTGCGACCATGTCGGCTGCGTACCATAGTTCAGGTCCAAGTATTGATCCTTGTGCCGCTCCCGAAGTTATCTGTATAAATTTCTCTCCTGCCTTGGTTCAATACAGTAGTCGTCGGTTGTCAAGACAGTTCTGTATTATCCGCATCAGGTATCCTGAGACTTTGAATCGTCTTTTCAGAGCGTCAATTATGTTGTCCCATTTAACGCTGTTGAATGCGTTCCTACCGTCTAGTGTTGCTAGGCTACTGAGCGCTTGGTTAACGAATTCCAATGGTCGACCTGTCTGGTCTAAAGCCATACTGCATTGGGGAAGACCCCTACCTCTTTCAAACCCTGCTGATAGTCGTGGCGTGATCATTTTCTCTAGTAGCTTCCCGGTTGTGATAAACATGCATAGTGGTCGATAAGCTGATGGGGTTAGGGGATCTCCTTTGCCCTTATTTATCAGAACTAATCGTTGCATCATCCAGGCGTCTGAATTTTCACGCTGGGAATGCACGCGTTAAACATATCCATCAGGATTTGGGGTCTGCTCTCCGCGATTACTCTTAGGACCTCTGCTGGGGTGTTCTCGGGCCCAGTAGCTCATCCACTATGATGAGCTCGATCTGTGCTTCTGCTATTGATGGAGTAGATCTCGCTTTGCTATTAGCGTGAGCGGGGAATAGTGTTTTGACTATATGGTTCATTTGCTCTTCCTCCAATTTCGGTGTTGTGCTTCTTCATCACGATTTTATACTCCAGCCCCCACGGGTTAGTGTTGACGTCGTTGCAGAGGCGTTCCCATTTCTCCGTTTGACTTTTCCGGATAACAGTATTAAAGTCCTTAGATTTATTAAATTCGGTTTCATTATTATAATTATTATATTTATTATTATTATTATAATTATATAATATAATCATAACTATAATTATAGTTCTTATGACAGCTATATGATATAATATCCCTATTTTCATAGATTTAATACCGAAAGTCTAGAATAATATAAAATGGGTATATCTCAAATGTGATTTAAATATGTTCAAAACTGGACGAGGTATAATTTTCTTCCTAAAAATGTTCTGTTCATCCATACGGCAGATATATGATATAGTCGGCCGATCTGGCCCGTTCCGACTTATATACGAGTGAGAATATATACATAGAAGACTAACAGCAATGTTTCATTCAGATAGCTTTAAAACTGAGAGACTAGATTGCCTAGAAACGGACAGACGGACGGTCAGGCGGATATGGCTAGATCGACTCGGCTGTTGATGTTCATATATGTATATACTTTATGCGGTCGGAGATGACTTCAGTGCTTTGTAAACTTTTGATTGAAATTAAAATACCCAGCGAGGGTATAAAAATAACGAAGCATTGTCCATTGTCATATTACATTCGCTTACATTTTTCGAATCAAGAGTTGACGAAAATATTTTTAAATATAGCCAGTTAGTTGTCTGTAAATATTCCGATCTTTTAAGCTACATCCATTTTGAAAGCTAAAAGACTGGTACCAATAGTACCGAATTGTTGGACAGCCATACGAATATACGGACATGAAAATATAAGCTCTTCTGTTTGGTTCCATAAATTGTAAACATTTTTCTTTCACAAAAATTGGCACCGAGCTTTTTGATTAACTGATAAAAAAATATCCTGTGTTATACTAAAAGGGATGCTTTCTCGTCAGCATCAGCACCGGCCGTAAAAGTAGACGAATAAATATAGGATTATTTCGCTTCCAAAACAGAATTTTAATTTAAATTGAAAATTTGTTGTCCTTTCTATTTTCTAAGCCCCGCCTAGACTGTGTTGTCTCTGCTCTTAAAATGTTTTCTATTGTGTTGTCGTTTTCAAGTTCAATTGTACAAATTTCAAAACTAAGAAGGGGAGTTAACCCTCCCGGGGCTACCCGCGGGCTACGTAATAATGTGTTCTATAGAGGAACATCCATCCCATGAATTAAGCTAGCGACAAAAAGATGTCATTATTATGTGGTTGAGTGCAACATGTTTTTAATGCATTCTCTTTTTTTCTGCCCTTAATAGAGATTTTCTAGAGCGCCGGGAGCAGGGTCATGCCCTATTAGCAATATTATATATTTTCCTCCCCTAATATATTTGTGTTCTCGCTTGTCACGCAACCCTTAAGTGTGATTTTTGTGAATTACTATCAATTTCAAATAAGGGAAGAGGCAGGCTGGCTTTGGAAGCGTGCTTAATTGTCGAAAATACGGTGTAACTATATACGATTTTTATACCCTTGCAGGGTATTATAATTTCAGTCAGAAGTCTGCAACACAGTGAAGGAGTTATCCGTTCGTGATCAGCATTAACATCCGAGTCGATCTAGCCATGTCCGTCCGTCCATTTTTCCGTTTCTACGGAGAGTAGTCTCTAAGTTTTAAAACTATCTGAAGCTTTGCAATTACTCTTCTATATACACTTCCTTGTATTATAGCATCAACAGCCGATTTGATCTAGCCAAGTCCGTCTATCCGTCCGTGTGTCCGTTTCTACGCAAACTAGTCTCTTAGTTTTGAAGCTACAGTCGAGTCCCGATAAATCGAAATGGCAAGGGGATCACTTTTTTTACGAATTAGACGGGAATTCGATTTATCGAGATTTCTACTTAACGGGGCTCAAAAATGAAAGAGTCGAATAAACGGGGTTTTTACATTTCACACCATGTTTGCATATGTATTTAACTTTATTAAAATTAAACAAACATTATAAGTATGTACATTCATTTGTACGTTTTTCAAATTAAAGGAAAATTAAACAATAACATAAAATTAAAATAACAAAAAATTAAACAATTAAGCAGGAACATTAAATTATAAAAAATACAAATTCAAGCCTTAAAATAATAGCTGTCTGCAAAATCTAACGTCGCTTTAACTACAAAATATTTCGCATCGCATTACGATTTATAAGAGGTTTCGAAACAAAATTACGATTTATAAGAGGTTCAATATTCTTTGCGTTGCGCCAAATAATACGAATTAACGAGGGGACCAAAATGTATGGAATTTTTACGAATTAACGAGTTTTTTTTCAAGGGGACAGAATTTTTTACGAATTATCGCGATTTTCGATTTAGCGGGGTACGAATTATCGGGACTCGACTGTATATAAATCTTCTATAAACTCTCACTGTTATATATGTATGTCGGAACGGGCCGGATTGGACTTCAATAGATTTTGACCAAATTTGAAAAGTAGACGTTTTATATTATTCAAAAATTTTGTTACAAATTTAATGAAAATCGGATTACTATATCATATAGCTGCCATACAAATGATCGTTGGATAATGAGGAAAAGGCAAAACTGTGACTCTAATACTGTAAATATAATAAATACAGGTGACAGTAATACAAAAAGGGATCTTTTCTTTTTTTTTTTAACAGAAATATATAATTTATATTCTATTCATTTTTAATCTGCAAGGGTATACAATAGGGAGGGTCGATTTAAAAATCGCTTAGGCACATATGATTCTATGGATCGGAATAGGAAACTTTGCTCAAGAAACCATCCTTTAAAATGAAGGTGTCCCTCGGGTAGTTAAAACGAGGGACATCAGAATTCATTTTAGTGGTATGGTTTCTTGGACAACGTTTATTTCAATCCATAGAATTCCGAAAGCGATTTTTTGACCCCCTAGAAAACGAACCTTCTTAGTATACAAACTTTCCATTTAACTGCATTTCATCGTCTCGAAGGTACATGATTTTTTGGGTTTTATAAATTTTCAAGGTAAATTCAGATATGGTAATTTTTGTGATTCTAGAATTCTTAGGAAAGCAAAATTTGAAATATATATGTGTGAGCAATCTTAAGGGCTATGAAGTACATATATTAAATAGTATATACAAATATAATAGAACAGCAATTTGATTTAGGCAGACATGCAGACAAAGGAAGAAGAAAAAGTTTTCATTTGAAAAGTGTCGACCAAAGGTTTTTTTAAAATATTTTTTTAAATTATTTTTATACCCTTGCAGGGTATTATAATTTCAGTCAGAAGTTTGCAACGCAGTGAAGGAGGCACCTCCGACTATATAAAGTATATATATTCTTGATCAGGATCAACAGCCGAGTCGATCTAGCCATGTCCGTCTGTCCGTCTGTCCGTCTGTCCGTTTCTACGCAAACTAGTCTCTCAGTTTTGAAGCTATCTGAATGAAACTTTGTAGTTAGCCTTCTATATACTCTCACTCGTATATATGTCGGAACGGGCCGGATCGGACTACTGTAAATATACATATATATATATAGCTGCCATACAAACGATCGTTAGATATAGAGGAATGAATGAAAAACTGTAAATATAATATGTATAGGTTTAAGAAATGAAAGCAGGCATTACTTTATTGTTTTTTAGCATTAGTATATATAGTTTATATTGCATTAATTTCAAGTCACCGAAGTTCTATCTGCAAGGGTATATAAACGTCAGAGCTCCGAAGTTAGATTCCTTTATTGTATTAATCTGGAATAATTGCGAACTACAAGGGTGTACAAACTTCGGCGTCCCGATGTTATATTCTTTTCATGTTTTAAATTACAAATATTTAAATAAAACTCTTATTTTTATCTTATCTTAGGATTAACTCGACCAGCTTTATACCCATTTGCGACTGGGCAATATCCATATCCAATGCTAGGGTCGGACATGTCACAAGTGGCATCTTGGTATGTTGTTATTATATATTTTTTATTATTATTATATTAATTCATTCACAGGCACACACCTTCAGTGTACTCAGCATCTAGTTTTAGAACACCATATCCCTCGTCTTTACCGATAAATACGACGCTACCAAGGTAAATGTTTTTTTTTGTCATATATGTATTAATTTATAAATGTTAATAAAAATAAATTTTCAATTATGGAAGGTTCTTTTCATGATACTATTAATATTTATGGAATATCTTCTACCTTACGCAGCGACTTTCCTTTTAGATTTTCACCCAGTTTACTGCCTTCAGTACATGCAACCTCTCATCATGTTCTGAATTCACATTCGGCAATTGTGGGAAGCAGCTCAAAACAGGATTGTGGTTCTCATCAGGACTCAACAACGAATAATAGATATCCAAGGTGAGTGCTGTTAAATGTTGTATAGAATATGTACATATGACTAATGTTGTATACCGAGTACCCGTAAAATAGTTTAGTCATATTTGACCCATAAAGTATATGTATTCTCGATCAAGCTTTTCGCTCGTGCGAGGCCTGAGATCTTAGTGGAGCCTGGAATCAAAGCGAAACGAGAAGAGATAATATTTCTCGCTATAGCTTCGCTCCCACTTTAACATCTTTTAACCAATTTCATGTAAAAAGACAGAGCTATAACACAATGATTTTTTATAAGGCCAACCGCAAGATATTCTATCTATAGAGGCTTAAGTTTTTTATTAACATGGCTAAGTTGGCTTCCTATCCTGTTAGTTGTAAAATTCTTTAACTTAAACGATACCATTTCTAGTTTTAAAACTTGTTTTTTCGTTTATGAGGTATTATTAATATATCTTAAGTTGGAGATGGAGAGAGATAAAGAGAGTAGTATATAGTTCCCTTCACTAAGTGTTGAAAACTATTTTTCTAGTTAAGAAAACATTAGCTTCCTCAATACATTTTTCGCTTATTTACATTAAAGGTATTTCTAACGTTTAAATTTAAAGGGTAAAAGTCTAAGGAGGTATAGGAGTTAAGGGCGCAAAATTTACATCCGCCATCTTTAATTTACCAATGGAGGAGATTTCCTACAATGCCTCCCATATTCACACACACATATGTATGAGGAATACAAATGGAAAAGACTTTTGAAGGAATATATGGAAGAACTCTCTCATTGGTCCTCTCATTAAATGTAGCGCCTGCGCATTTTCACAAATCAACCCCCAAAAACATTCGAATTTCGAAACTTGGAAACATTTTTCTCGAATTTCGCATACAGTTTTTTTCACTATTAGATTATTCTACACTTTAAGCTCTATAAATAAATTTCTGGGTGGCTTTTTTTTTTTGAAAAATCTAAGGTGGCTAAGGAGCAAATTAAATACAAAATATTTTATTCAATTTAATAAAATACCTGACTTTGTTGCATATTATTTTGCACTCTTCACTTACTGTCTAAAGCAGTAAAGTCTGCAGTATAATTTATTATTTAAATAATTCAATAATTTAAAACTCAAACATTTAAGTTTCATATCGACTGGCTTTCCTACAAACGACACTTGACCCAAAAATAAAGAGTATCTAAAATGCTTGGCCACGCCCTGGTCTCCAGTTCATGTGTCCTTAAACACAATACTAATGCCATGTTAAATGCTAGAATTTAAATTGATGGCAAATAGTTAAATTTCCTTAAAAATAAAACATGCAATAAAATAAAAATAAAACATGCATTATGCATAATATAACCAATTATAATTGTTGGAAAACACAGTAAGCATTTTAACAAGATCACAAACCGCGTACCATATTGCATAATTTCCATGAAATTATTTTTGTTTTTATATATGTTGTACATATATTAATATCGGATACCATTCTTATCACAATATGGTAATTCTACATATTCAACTGCAACTTTATGTAATTCTCAATCAAAAATCTTCAAAATGTTTTGCACTAAAAACCAACATTTTGCTAAAAATTTGCGTATAACAAAATTTATTTTGCACAAAAATAATATAAATGAAACAGCTGCAAAAAATAAACTCCCTGCCATTTTACAAGAAAATGTTTTGGAGATTTTAAACCCTTGCAGGGTATTATAATTTCAGTCAGAAGTGAAGGAGTCACCTCCGACCATATGAAGTATATACATTCTTGATCAGCATCAACAGCCGAGTCGATCTAGCCATGTTCGTCTGTCGATTTCTGATCAAACTCAGTTTTATAGTTATCTGAATGAAATTTTGCAGTTAGTATTCTATATACTCTTACTCGTACATATGTCGGAACGGTCCGGATCAGGCGACTATATCAAAAAAATATACCTCTTTTAGTTGTTAAAAGATTTTCATTAAACTTGGGATAAATTTTACATTTTTCTACAATTTTGCGTAAAATTTTATGAAAATCGGACAATCATATAGCTGCCATACAAACTGTTGTTAGATATAGAGGAAAATGCAAAACTGTAAATATATTATATATAGGTTAAAAAAAGAAAGCAGGCATAACATTATTGTTCTTTAACATAAGTATAAATAATTTATATTTATATTTGCGTGCCGAAGTTAGCTTCCTTTCTTGCAGGGTACTACAATTTCAGCCAGAAATTTGCACGCAGCGGAGTCCGAACACTATAAGTATGCATGTATATGTACATATATATTCTTGAAACTGCAGTTTTTTAATATTATTTTAGAATTTCGGTATCAGCATATACCCATACCCAGCAAGGTTAAAAAAATTCCGACGAGTTTTTTTTTAAGTACTTAAAGCTTAAATGCTTTTTTTAGTGGACTCCATATAGTCTAAATGACAACTACTGAGAATATCGAAAATCGAAAACAGATTTTTCCCATACAAACTTCATGTACGATATTTTCAGTCGTTCAGCGACTCTGAGGTCGGTGTGGCTTACTTTTTGTACTAGGTTTTTTTTCCCCATGTAATCAAATTCAAACATTAATTAGATATTTATATGCAATTGTTGGTCCTTGCGTTTGCATTTAAATATATCAGATCCTTTCATAAGGTTAAATTCCTATTTTTGTCATTCTGCCCCTGACTTTTTTGGGTCTACGTATCGCGAAACATCGTCGATATTTCCAGTAATTCAGTCCATTAGTCGAATAAGGAGTTCACTATTTTATTAAATGTTTCCATGTCATCTTTGTTTACTTTTACGTAGTGAATTTTCAAGTTTTTACCAGCTTGAGAAAGTGTTCAATAAAAGACCCAACGCATTACTATCGGTTAAATTTTGATGGATTACAAACTGAGAAATTTACCAAACTGTGAAAACCTTATGGATAATCTCTGTGATTCTCTATATCTATATGTCATTCATATGACAGCTATATGATGTAGTCGTCCGATTTTCACAAAATAGTAAACAAAATTCTAGAATAAAATAAAACGGCCAAATCTTAAATTTGGTTAAAATTTGTTGAAAACGTATAAGGTTAAGATTTGTTTTCTAAGAATTTTCCGATGGTTTCTATGGCGAATATATGATATCGTCGTCCGATCCGGCTTGTTCCGACATATATATGAGTAAGACTTACTGCAAAGTTCAATTGAGATAGCTTCAAAACTGAGAGAATGGTTTGCGTAAAAATCGGACAGACGGACATGGCTAGATCGACTCGGCTGTTGCTGCTGATAAAGAATACATACATATACTTTATAAAATACTTCACTGCGTTGCAAACCTCTGACTGAAATCCTAATAGCCTGCGTGGGTACTAAAATCAAATGTTTGTATACACGGAACAATACATTCATTTAAATAAATTGTCAAATTCATAAGTGCAGTGATTTAAGGGTTTGAAGCGGTATATTTTGTGCTGGTGTTCAGCAGTAGTATTTTCTAGTATATTCTCTCATATTGGGGATGGCAAATACTGAAGAAAAATCGATTAACTTTAATCGATTTTAATCCTTGAAAACTATCAACAAGTAGATAAACATTTATAGATTCTTTTCTACCCTGCAAAAATTAAATGTATCAAATGTTAACAACAAGAATTGCAGAACGATTTAGTTATTATAAATATATTTGTAAAACAACGACTTGTGGCGAACAATTTAAAATATTTACTTACTCTAGTGTTTTATTAAGTTATATTCATTTATTTTTACGAGTTATTGTGAGCGAATGTTTTCAATGAGGGAAAGGTCCTGCGCAATGGCTCGTCCCATGTAATTCGTTTCTCTTCCTCTCTCTCAGGCGGAGAGAAAGAGCTTGCTTCGCCATCGTTAAGTTTTATCTTTTAATTCCCGAAAAGAGAGATATTGTTTGTGCCAGTATATACAATTTTAAGAAAATCTACATAAGCGGAGAGATACTAAACTGTATTTTCAAACAATAGTTACATTAAACAGAGCTGCAATAATAAAAACCTTAAGTGCTGATAGCTGGGATAAATAATTAAAAGACTGACAGAGCTTTTCATTTCCTTTTCTTTATTTTGAAATGTTACTAAAATACCCTTAAAATTAAATCTAAACCAAAATATTAAAAAAAAAATAAATAAATAAAAGTGTGTATTTACATTATGCGCGAATTAACATCAACTGCAAATCTTGTAAAAAGTTTAAGGGCACACTTTTGGCAACAATTTTAAATCAAAATTAAATTTAAATACAAACTCGGCTGATTAATTATTTTAAATTAATTAATTATAGATTTTTTTGTAACTAAAAAAGCATAAGCAAAAACAGTAATTACAACGCAGAAGCTAAGACAATAAAAGTTAACCCAGAATTTAGCTCTATAAAAAAAAAAACAAGAAAGGAAGCGAACTTCGGCACGCCGATGTTTATATACCCTTGCAGATAGAACTTCGATCACTAGGAATTAATACAATATAAATATATTTGTGTTAAAAAACAGTAAAAAATTTGTTGTATGGCAGCTATATTATATATTCGTCCGATTTTTATTAAATTAAAACCGAAATTTTAGAATAATATTAAATGGATATATCTCAAATTATATAAAAATATGTTAAAAATTGGAAAAGTAAGAATTATTTTTTCTAAAATTTTTCCGGTTGTTCCTATTGCAGCTATATGATATAGTCGTCCGATCCAGCCCGTTCCGACATATATACGAGTGAGAGTACATAGAAGACTAACTACAAAGTTTAATTCAGATAGCTTTAAAATTGAGGGACTAGTTTGTGTAGAAACCAACAGACTGACTTGGCTAGATCGACTCGGCTGTTGATGCTGATACAGAATATATGTATATACTGTATATGGAGATGACTCCTTCACTGCGTTGCAAACTTGTGACTTGAATTATAATACCCTGCAAAGATATAACTAGAAAGGAAGTTAACTTTGGCACGCCGAAGTTTGTATACCCTTGCAGATTGCAATTCGATCATTAATTAGTAATAAATTACAAATAATATAATATTTGTGTTATTTAAAAGCAACAAAGTAATTCCTACGTTCATTACAGTTTACCATTCTTATTATATTTATTCCGACCGGTTCTATGGCATCTAAATGATATAGTCGTCCGATCCGATCCCGTTCCGATTTATATACGAGGTGTATAGATGTCTAACTTCAAATTTACATTAATTAGATAGATAGCTTCATAACTGGGAGACTAGTTTGTGTAAAAAACGGACAGACGGATATGGCTAGATTGACTCGGCTATTGATACTGACCAAGAGTATACTTTATTGAGTTGCAAACTTTTGACTAAAGTTATAATACCCTGCAAGAGTATACAAATAAAAAATATAACATTTTTTGGAAAAAGTGCTTATGGAGCTCATTTCTAGAAAGTACAAACTTTAAATCGAACTAATACAAACAAAGGATCTTTACAGTAATTGTCTTGGTTGAAGATAACCAATAATAATGCCCAATTCATCTTCGGACTTTAAGGAAATACAGTTAAGCCCAAATACATATGAAGACGATGGCCACATTGAAACACGTCAATATTCTTCTTTAAATGATTTGTATGAATCATCGCAAAAAACAACCGACGTTGTGGACGCTATTTTTGGATTTGGAGCCTTACCTAGCAACGAAAACCTTGTCAAGCCATTTAGTATATATAAAAGAAGCAACGAAGATAATAACCACACATCGACGGAAGAATACCCTGCCAAAACAACACCTTCCGCATTATCGGAGCTTCTTTTACGACAGCCTCAACAATTCTGGCCACCGATGCAGCAAGAAACAGCTGCCAGTCCAGAGGATGAGATGTTTCGAAATCGAAGTGAATTATTTTCTTGCATATATAATCAACAGAAATGCTCCGATCAGCAAATTTTGGCCACTCAACTATTCTATGCTCGATTATTCCAGCCCAAGGAGTCGCCCGAAACGGAAAAAATGGATAAAATGAATACATCGTTTCCGAGTTTAGCAAAGAAAACAATAATACGACAAGAAGATCTGCCACCGACACCATCTTCCCAAGATAATAATAATAACAACGAGTTACCCAGTGCAGACGGAGACGAAGGCAGCTTAAGATGCGAAGATCAACCTTTTTTTGATAATAGAACTCAAAGGAACTTTCAAGAGCATATAGTACATATGGATCAAAGTATTAAAAATGTTAAGGAAAATAAGTATGATAAATCACACGACTTACAGTACACATGTCAGTTTATTACGGAACATAAAAATATACTCAACGAAGTCAAAAGTAGACTGGAAAAACTCTCTTTACTGTCCGTAAAATTCCAAAATAACTTATGGAACACTAATAGGATCGATGTGAATACTACCGACTCTGCTTTAGAGGCAACAGTTCGAAGGCAATTAACAGACAATTGCAAGGCAATTGATACGATATTGGATCAAGTGAAACGTTTATACAATAAATGGAGCAGTTCGGAGCTGTATTACCTACGGAGCTTACAACGCTTGGGTCTGTCGTCGTCCAAAGAAACGATTCCAACCGCAACGCATACGATAATGGCTTTAGCGGCCATAGCTTTGTCGGAAGAAAGCCAAGATATGAATCCAATTGACCTTAAAAAAAACGATAAGCCCAAAACTCTCAATGAAATTGAGAACATTATATTAAAATTAGCATCAGCGATCAACACGCATAGTTTGTATGATAAAAATGATGGCGAAGAGTTAACCCAACCCAACTGCATTTGGCATACGAAAAAAGAAACATCTCTCCTACCAACGACAAGGAAGATGTTAAGAATTGTACAACAGCAGCGGAAATTATTTTAGAATACGCTTCGTTGTCTTCTTCAGCCATTAAAACTATTGAAAATGATAGTATGAGTTCTCCACAGAGTTTATTTACGAATAATAACATTATCAACGAGCGTTCTGAATTTTTGAATGGAATTTCTTCGCAACCCTCGGGAAAAATTGCTGGTATTTTGGGCCTAAGCCAAAATCGTAAAAAAATCAAACCAACAGATGTATTTAATTTAACTAATCTTAATACAACAACAAATAGCGATAAATATTCATCTAACGCCAAAACGATAGATAAAATATCTGAAATAATTATGAAGCCCACACCATCTGTAAGGGAAAGCTGTACCAACAGCATGTTCAAACATGTTGGATCTAGTATGAACAAATCTGAATTATTACCCATCCTAGATGCTCCGTTTGATCTAAGTACCAAATATCACGGAACCAAGCTGAAGAACATGTAATTGAAATTATCATATTTATCAATATATGCAATACATTTATCTTATCTAAAATATTATTATTAAGCCTTGTTTATTACATTTTGCTGTAATATACCGATAATGTTCATATTTATTGTATTTCATATATACTATTTATTGCAGAAACTTGGATACAAAAAATACATCGAGTAATCAATCGAATGACTCTTCGAAAGATATATCAAATGATAAGAAGAAACCTCATATCAAGAAGCCATTAAATGCTTTCATGCTGTATATGAAGGAGATGAGGGCCAAAGTGGTGGCCGAATGTACACTTAAGGAATCAGCGGCGATCAATCAGATATTGGGGCGTCGGGTAAGACCTTATGTATTTCATTAAATAATTCATAATAATTCATATTACGCAAATTTTAAGCCAAAAATAGATTAGTTTGGCTGGATTTAAAAAGAGTGTTTTACCGAGCTTTAAATTAAAAATAATAAATGCCGAAAATATTACCAAACTTTAAAGTCTTGAAATTAAATCATTTTAAAGAAATATATTTTTTTCTAACGGAATTGTTTAATTACCTTCTTTATTTTAATATTATAATATATTTTTGTAGTGGCACGAACTATCCCGTGAAGAACAAAGCAAATATTACGAAAAAGCTCGACAAGAGCGACAATTGCATATGGAATTATATCCGGGGTGGAGCGCTCGGGATAACTACGGTTATGTCTCGAAAAAGAAAAAGCGTAAAAAAGACAGATCGACAACGGATTCGGGAGGTATTGCACAAAATTCTTTATCAAAACAAAAAATTGTTACACACTCTTCTTTTTATTGCATTTATTCAACCCTTTTTTATATTATTTCATTAACACACCACATACCAACTTCAAAGCACACATATAACATCAACAACTAACCCACAAAAAATATTAGAAATTAACAGTTAGTTAATATAATTTGTGTAAATACTTGAAGTATCATAATTAATATCTTAAAGCTGATATAAACTCTCACTTGGAAGATGTACAACCTTTGATTTAGTAGATTTTGCAGATAGATTTTGAACACCCGAGCCTAACTCTAGATAATCGATGTAAAATTAGTTATTTATATCTTGACATTTTTGTAATTATACATTTTTATTACAAAATATATTTCCAACTGGGATTTGTGAAACTAGACACTTATGCTACGCAAAACCTTAAAAACGGCAACTCATTTAACGGATAATTTAAATAGACACACATAAAATGTTTTAAAATTTAAATGGTATATACGTACAGTTATATGTTATATACGTACAGAACAGCTTCCATAATTGTACATGAAATAGGGATAAATGATACTTTTATTCTGAATGGGAAAGGGAATGCCAAACATTTTTCAACAGTTTTCTGGATGAGAACAGTAATGTATGCATCGGATATCGGATATTTGAATTTAAATTTATGTGGTACATTACAGCCTTGAAAAATGTCATCCGTCTCACATAGCTATCATATTAAATATTCAATAATTAGTGCTGCAAAAAAATTGACTAAAAACAACACATGTACAGACACAAACACACAAAACACACCAAAAATTAATAATATTGGCAAAATTTTGGACACAATTATATATATTAATAAGGAACAGCTTATTGGAACATATATTTGCTTAAAATTTGTTTTAATTTCTAACGAATTTTTTGCTTTATAATCTCTTCAACTATTATTATAAATATAATTGGGCGCGTCCTGTTAAATATATATATCAAATTGGCGAAAAGCATGCGCCCGAAACCGTATTTGAAATCGATCAAGTCCATTGCCTAACAAGTTTATAGTATAGTAGAACGGAAAAACAATTTTTTTCCGGGATACTTTTTCGATACTATCGCTTGGGTTTTCTGTAAATGTATAGGGTATTTGGAAATTGGGTTTCGAAATTTCCCATATGTTTAATTTTTTAAGAACTTGATCATAAAAACTATCGATCTTTGTATTTTTTTATAGTATGGAAAAAGATTATAATTAATATGCCAGGCATAACAGATATTTTGACCCAATATATCCGTCAAACACTGTTTAAAAAAATCGATCATCAACGGAAACGTTGAGAATGAAAAGAGCGCAAAAATCAAATTATTTAGCTCAACTCCGTACCGAGCTACTTTGTCTGCAGTACTCATTTGGCAAAAGTATGCTTGTTTAAGTATGCCTGCGCCTGCCCAGAACATAAATTCTATGCCCATAGTTAATCTGAATTTATGCTATATTTTACTGCTCGTACTTTCTAAATTTCTAGACAACATTCATACATATGTACATGTATGTATGTATCTTCCTTACTTGATTTTTCCTTTTTTCTTCCTCGCATACAGCAAGCGTAATCACTTTTACAAAGACCCACATATAGGGCAGTGCTTTTTTAAAAACATTTTTGCCGTGTACTCACCCAAAAGAGTCGTGCTCAGATGTTGCTGAGTGACCGATTCTAGACTGCGTTAAAAAACATGGATGACTGTTATTTGCGTGCTCTAATTTTTAAGGACACTATTAAGACCGTGAACAGCACGACAGGTGTATTAAGATAAAGACTAGGGAGAACTATCAGGGATATAACTCCTATCTCTGAATTCAGATATTTACAAAATATATACGATAAGATTCTTTAAAATATTCGTACATCATTTAATATTTAATAAACAATTAATTTGAAGTTTTATCATTTAGTAACCTTATTGAAAGGTCTTAACCTTTGCGTTGTTCATATAGTTGAAACTAAAGTATTATTGTGTAAAGGTTACGGGAACAAACCTTATCATAAAACAGTATTCAGAAACGAAAAGGTAGCTTAATTTCCTGTGAAGAAATTACCTCAAATAAATATTAAAATTAGCTTGGTTAAATATATTTCCATAAATTGCGATATACATGTTTGCATACTATATACTGTTGTACAATATATATATCCCACACGAAAAATAACGAAAAACCCATAGTGGCATGCTTTGGGGCGTGAGGAGCAGGCGAAATATTACGAGTTGGCGCGAAGGGAACGCCAGCTGCACATGCAGATGTATCCCGATTGGAGCTCTCGCACCAATGCTTCTCGCGGCAAGAAGCGGAAGCGGAAGCAAGATACCAACGAAGGAGGTTAGACCAAAAATGTTCTTTTATTCTTTTACAATATAAAAACAACCAAATCCGTTTATATAAGAGCCAAAATTATATCGATTAAAGTATTAATACTGACAGAGACACTGGACGATCGGACTATATATATTTTTTAATGTAAATGCTAAACAAAAATTGTACCTGTAAATATTACAATATATGAATATATTTTTAATCGGAAATAAGTTTCACAATAAATATAATTGGATTAACAATAGAGACTTTAGACCAAATCCCCAATACCAAATTCAGAATTGAAAAATATAGGAAACAAAACCCCCTTAAAAACGTCTTCTGCTTTATTATAGTTACTAAAAAACAAAAGTCCATATATGTGTGGCATGCTGCATGCTTATAGACATTTTTATCTTTATTTTGTGACAGTTTAGCATTGCTATTAGTAGACTTTTCCTAATCTGTTAACTATTCTCAAAATATTATTTGTAATCACTAATATTATATAGTCCTAACCAGTCATTAATAAAACTACAAATGAAAATACTATATATAAAAGGTATAATAAATACGTGTACCTATTTTTTTACCAGGGAATAATATGAAGAAATGTCGAGCTCGTTTTGGATTGGACCAACAAAATCAATGGTGCAAGCCCTGCAGGTATGTTTTCTTATTATTTTTTCCTTTTTTGTATTATATTAAATTAAATAATACACAACATTGTGCTTACACAAGATTCACGCAAGTTTTCATGTCCATTGAAATAAATTATATTCATGAAAAGCATAAGATTTAAATATGCGAATACGGGAATTTTTAAGAATTAACATCATTTCAGGCGGAAAAAACGTTTTTCAGAAAAGTTGGGTTGCTCAGAGATTAATAATGCCTATTAGCTAAAATAATAAATATATATTTTTATTTCTGCTGTGATTATTATGCCGCATTCAATCGGTATTTGTCTGTACCTTGCGTGAATTTTGGTTTAATAAAATATTAAGTTATATAAAATTATAATTAAGACTAAAATTGCACAATATAATTATTAGATTTTTTTTCGAACCAGTCCCACAATTTAAAAAAAAATATACACACACTGACACAAGTATAGGTATTCTCTTTAATTTTAACATAAATATTATATTTTATTAAAATCGTATCAGTAATCACGATAAATGCAACCCCAAAATAATGAATATAATTTATTATTACCTTAATTAATTTATATATTATTTATAAACTGAATGATTCGGCGGGTAATGCTTGTACATATACAGAACAATTTAAGCTTACCATAAGTATTATTTTTTAATTTATATTTATACAGAGAAATATAAATATATGTTTTAATATTGATATTTGATTTTTGATAGAGGGGTCACCAAAATTTTACATGTTCTTAGTAATAACATAAAATATACATAAACCCTTAAGCCAAAACATGATATATCCGATTACTCGGCTTAATCCTACAATTAATTACTTATTAACGATATTATTTGGGACTAAATATTAATATAAGAACCCCCATTAAACTAATATTTATGTCTACAAATTTGTTTTTAGTTTCGAAATTTTAAAGAGGCTTACTTTTAACTGACCTTTTATAATTATACAAATATTTTGATGCTGCCCCATCCTTCTAATGCCTGCCCTGATGATGTGATTTACAAATATTAATTATTGGACTACATTTTATTGACTTTTCCGTGTTGACTGAAGTCCCAATTTGGGCGTCATTTCAACTGTAAGCAACAATAATAATGGAGGAGGCGGCATGAGCTTGACCACGAGCAGTAATAGTTCACCAGGTGCTGGTGTCGGTGTCGGTGTTGGCGTTGTAAACATGTTGGCACCCATTGTAAGTGGTATTGTTGGCGGTGCGATATCGTCCTCCTCGTCCTCCTCATCATCATCCACCTCGTCTTCTCATACGCATGTCCAATTAATGATGGCGACTCCGAACGGCAGTAATGGAAACGGATCAGTAAATGGCATACAGATCGCAGCTTGCTCGCAACAACTGTCGCCACAACAGCCAGCACAGGCACAAGCACCACCGACATATGTCAATTTGTAAGGGATCGATCTCTACAACAACACAAGAAAAATATTCAAGAGGGACAGAATCTGACGTTCCAGAGATCCCAGGATCAAATATAATAACAAGAGATCTTAATAAAATGCTCCAACGCCCCAGAGAGAGAGAGAGAGAGACCAGTAATTAAACAAAATATCAAACAATTAATAATAATACAAATGCATATCAGGGTTATAAGCTATATATATAGTTTATGTATATATTTATATATATACATTTATTTATTGCATGAAAAAAAGTTTTTCCGAATATATTTGAATAGTTAAAAAAAAGAATATTAAATACAATTTTAATAATGAACAAATTAATCAAAATATATTCAATCATTTTGAAAATGTTAAGCTAATATAGATATTTTTATACCCTTGCATATTTTTATACCTTTGAAACACAGTGAAGGATTCATTACCGACCCTATAAAGTATGTATATTTATTCTTGATCAGCATTAACTGCCGACTCGATCTAGCCTTCTAGTCTGTCTGACATTTTATTTGCAAACTAGTTTTAAAGCTATCCGAATAAAAATATCCAGTTAGTCTTTTATACACTCTTGAATATAAGTCGAAACGGGCAGGATCAGACTATTATCATAAAGCTGACTTATGAACTATCGGAAAATTTGTATACATCAAATTTGAACTTATTGCAGTTTTCAACAAACTTGTATCAAATTTCAGATACAAACATTCTGTATTATTCCAGAGTCTCGCTTTTAATTTTATGAAGTTCGGGATATATAATATAGCTGTCATACAAACGATCGTTAAATGAATAGGAAAATTCAAAACTGTGAATGTAAACTGCTAATCTGTAAATATAGTATATACATATATACAATGTGAATTTAACAAAAGTACGAATTTCCTTAACGTTTTTTAATTGTATTTATTATTATTGATCGAATTGCAAACTGCAAGGGTATACATAATTCGGCTTGCCGAATTCAGCTGCCATTCTTGAATTATGATAAAATTTCGCTTTTAGAATTTTTCAAATCGGATGATTATATCATATAGCTGCCGTACAAACGATCGTTAAATGTAGAGGAAAATGCAAAACTGAAACCGTAAAACAATAATTCTAATACGTGTAGGTAGGGAGTTATATTCATTATGTGAATTTGTAATTCAGAGAATGAATTTGTAATTCAGAGTTAGGGAAGTATTTTTTCTTCAGATTTGCGTTTGTCGGATCCTTAGTTATCAAATGCCAAAATGCGGTCTATATCGACCAACTTAGAAGAAAAAGAAGGAAATATATATTGTTAATCTTTATTATTTACTCAAGAATTATTTATTGAAAATATTAGACCTACCTTTTTATCGATTCAAATGCAACCATCATAGTCGGTTGCTGTCAACGGCTATATGTGATATGATTATATATATTTTTTTAATAAGTCATCTATTTGACTCTTAAGCTTGTTTTCCAAAAAGAATTACCAAATTATAATACTAATAACGATAATTCGTTTAAAAAACCCTGATATACATTTTGATTAAGACGTAATATTGTTGTTCGTTTTACCCGTTGTTCTATACTTGATGTTAATTAAAAAAGTAAATTATTTGAATGTTGTTTGACAAAAGGCTTCACATATTACAACTATTATTTAATTATTTAATTGGAAGTACTAGCACCACTAGCATTAACTATATTATGTCTTTAAAGATACCCCAATAGGCTCTTCATTTTAATTTATTTAATCGGATGTGCTTTTCTAGTATTATATATAGATGGTTAATATTTATAAAATATTAAAAGCTCAAATAATTTCGTTCCAATATCAAGCATCCGTATCTAGTCATTTTTTAAGGGAGATTGAGTAGCCTGCTATTGCTTTAATTCTGATTACGAATTTACTTTTTTTCCTTAATTTCTTTCTAAAGAAAAATATCAGGATTTGCCAGTTTTTAGGAAACGAAAGGTTGTAGGTTCCCTTAATTGTATATATATATATTTTTTTTGTTATTTCTAATGAATACTTTATAATAGAAAAACTATGGCTTTTATAGTTGACTCGGGAACAGCCGGTTATATCACCTATTGAGCTTGACGATAGAGCATTTTATAGTCTTCTTAATGTACAATTTACAATACTAATAGTTTTTATACCCTTCCAGTGTAATAAAATTTTGCAACGCAGTGAAGGAGACATTTTCGAACCTATGAGGTACACATATTCTTGATCAGCATCGACAGCAGAGTCAATCTAGCCATGTCCGTTTGTCCGCCTGTCTGTCCGTTTCTACGCAAAACTAGTATATATACTCTCTCTAGTTGTTAAGACGGAACGGGCCGTATTAGACGACTATATCATATAGCTGCCTTAGAAACGACAGCGAAATACAAAAAAAAAAAAATGAGTTTGCTTGTTTTCCATTTTTATTTAAATTTAAATTTCGGTCTTAAATTTTTGGCCATAATATGATGTATAAATATTATAACTTCGCTGTTTTTCATCTCCCCTGAAATAGCCATTATTTGTTTTACAGATTTTCATTTAACTGCCATAAAATCTTAAATGTAGAGAATGAAGCAATACTTTGAGTTAAAACTGTAAATATAATATGCATATTTTAATGTAATGAAGCTGGGCATTAAGTCGTTTATAATTTATATATTATATTTATTTTTGACGACTGAATTGCAATCTGCTAGGGTATACAACATCGGTCTGCCGAAGGTAGTTTCCTTTCTTGTTTAACGTAAATATGTATCATTTATATTGTATTAATAATTAATGATCAAATTGCAATCTGCAAGGGTATTTAAACGTCGGCGTGCCGAAGTTAGCTTCCGTTCTCGTTATTTCTTTGGTTTAATAAAGTCCCCCTTTAGTCAGAATAAAAGCTTATATTTATATTTATTGCATTTTTTTCTCGAGAGACGCATGCGTTTACTTTAATTTAATTATAATTATTATTAATTATAAAATATGTGTTTTTGTGTGTTACATTTTTACCAGTGTCCTCAAATAAGAGTACCGAAATCCAACTTGAGCATGAAATTCTCTTGTGTTTGTGTATTCAATATTTTTGGAATGTCTATATCTTTGCACTTTTATGATTACAAAAAGTTTTCTAAACACTAATAAACTTATAAACAATTTTTATTTATTTTTTTTTTTATTTAAAAAAAAATTATTTGTTTTAGACGCAAGAAGAAATGCATTCGCTATATGGAGGCAATGAATGGAAATAGCGGAATTCTGGAAGATGGCAGCGGCATGGATGATCATGGAAGCGACGACGATGACGACGATGATGACGATGATGATGTCAAGCTCAATGGAAGCTGTGGAAGTGTGGATGCTGACGACTCTGCAAATAAAATAGATGATGATTCGGAATCCTTGGATCATGGATCCATGTCCAGTTTTGCGCAGAGTCCATCGACCACCACCACGAGCCTGGCCAGTCCCTTAAACATGATTAATTTTATTAATCCAACTACACCAAATCCAGGTGCTCTATTGATCAATGTTAATGCTACGGAGCAGCAGCAACAACGTTCGGCATCAGTTTCTGCATCGTCTACATCAGCCTCAGCGTCGAGTGGAAGTGGTGGCACTACCCCAAGTACCTCAAGTACAGTCTCGCCCGTAACCACTGGTATTCCAGGGGTTAACAGCAGTATTCCAGGAGCTAACAGTATTCCAGGAGGAGGCGGAACTTCCTCAACTCTAGCTGAACGTGCTATGATGCTAGGCAATCGCTTTAGTCATCTGGGAATGGGGTTGAGTCCTGTTTTTGCCACAACAACAGCCGTCGGTCCAGGTACAGGTACAGGTACAGGTACAGGTACAAATAAGCTAGAACCATTCCTCGGTAATAATAATAGCTTAAATAATTTAAGCAATTCCCCAATTCCAATTCCCGTAATGCCAAACATTATACGAAATCCAATTGGTGCTAATCCGCGAGACATTAATAATCCCCTGAGTATTAATCAATTGACAAATCATCATCAGCCGTCGTCGCTGTTAAAGAGCAGCTTTAGTCAACATTTTCAGCAGCAACAACAGTTAATAAATGCTGCACATATGTCGAATATGACTGCGGTAAATAACAGAAGTAAAGTGACAGCGGCTTGTAGTAACATAAACAATGCAACGACAACGGCAATGTTGTCCATAAATTCCCATCATGCTGGAAAACCTAGGGCTGCTGAATGTGATAGTAGTCATGAAAAATCCGCTGATCACCATCAGCAATCAAATACTTCCAGCACGACTTCCTCAGGCGCCGGCGCTACAGAAACTGGAGCCATCAGCGTTTCATAACAGACGCAGAGAACAGTTCTTAACAGAGATTCAACACTGTACACACGTGTACAGGGTTCCGTTGTTTGTGTGCGCATGTTGTCGTACATTTCTCTTTAAAGTAACGGGTTCCGAGACTTTTATACTAGCATGCTCTTAGAGTCTCTTGCGAAGAATGTCTAATAAATGTCCCTCTTTAATGTCATAACTTCTCTTTGAAGCCGATCGTCAGAAGTATAGGGTACAAAATTAGCAACAAAATATTTTATTTAGACTTCTTTTTGAGAATTGTATAAAAAACACAGTGTGCAATAATCTTCCTCGACTCAATCATCGCGTCGCCATTCTTACGTAAAAAAGTGGCCATCAAATAAATACTACTTAGTGCCAACTACCACCAGCATTGATTCTTTTATGAAATAAATTTAAATCTATAAGGTATCCCGTTGCACAAAACTTTACAAGACCAGCTCCGTTAGAGGCCAAATAAAGATTCATATATCTGTTTTGTTTAACATAGAGAAGCCTGATATTCAGATCTATCCCAAGCTAGAGGCAATGCCAAATAGATCCACATAATCAATAAAAACTACTGCAGAAAAAAAACACATTTATATACCTTTATTTGCTAAATGGATTTTTTAAATACATTAGAAAGTAAAATAGTACAATAGTAAATATCCCGAATTCATGGTATTTTTTTTAAGTAAATGTTCCATTTTGTTGCAATATTAATATGTCTTAAGTAAAAGTTTTATTATAATCCCGCAGGGTATTTTAATTTTAGTCCAAAGTTTCTGATCTAGTGGCTTATTAATGAATAAGTCAAAACAAGTCGGATCTGACTACTATATCATATAGCTGCCATATCGGGAAACTAAATTTTATAAAATATAATTCCGCTGTTTTTCAACATTTTTTCATCAACTCTGATTATACCTATAGTTTTTCAATGTGTTTTCAATTTTATGAGAAGCTCGGAAAATCAGCAAGTTTCGTTTTTTTTACATTTATGATTTTTACATTTAATTGAAATGAAATATCGGTTTTCAATGTTCTAATTGTAAACTGCAAGGGTACAACAACTAAATCTTCCCAAAGTAAGCTTTATATCAATATTTATGGTTTATTTGTTCTCTTTAACATTTAAAAGAACTTAAACATATTATCGATTTCTTAAATTCAATAAATAAGAAACCTTTCAGTTTTTTCTTGTTATTAGTCTACTTTTAATATAAAATACATTTCTGGGAAATTTTCGATTCAAAAGGTGTTTTGTCATTCGGGACTTGCCTTAATTCAATATTTATTTTTCTATTATCTTAAAAAGAAAGATGATATAATGTTGCACCTTATAAAGATACATATAAACCTTTGTAAATAGACAAACAATTTCACATAGAACGTACTAATACTGACAAATGCTTACGAATTTATTGACCATAAGACCTGATAGAACTACTTACTATTCCAAACATAAATAAACCCCGAGTATATATAGCAAACATTTTAACTTATTTAACGAAACGATCATTTGTTTGGTAATGTTTGTTATTTTTTACAAGTGCTTAGGGCGCATTGAATTGCAATTTTTTAACTAGTCTTGAGATTCATTTTTATAAATATTTTTTTAACAAAAATGATAATTCTTAATTAAAAACCATTGTTTTTTTTCTACTAAAATTTTTGTTTGGAATCACAATATGAATGAACTAATTGTGCCTAGTTTTTTCTGTAATTATTCTTTGGCTATCACTATGTACTTAATTAAACATATCTCGATTTCCGTAAGAATAAGAAAATACTCCATCATATCTCAAAAAATGTTGTATTGTGTATTTAAAGCCCACGAAAAAAATTAAAAACTAGAGCCTTATGTAAATCCAAGATCAATCATTCATAAATTGCACAAAACAATATATAAATGAATAGAAATCGAAAACTCAATCGGCTAGTCAACAAATTGGCATTGTGTATTGTATTATTTAATTATTATTATTGATTGTGTGCTAAAATTCATTAAAATATTAAAAAACGAATTAAAAATATATATATAAACAATTAATTTCAGTCTAAATTTTAAATACGCGCCTCATAATTTTGTGTGTTTTTTTATTCAAATCGATGATTTGCGCCACAGATAACATTTATTATATTTTCTTAAATAAACTATCATAGCTAAACTAAAAAGTATAAAAATAAACAATTCAGATCGAACGCGATATGTAATAAATAAATAATAAATTCAAAATATTTAGCAACATGCGTATTTCTGGAAAAGTAAAGGGCATCTACATTATTTAGATTACACAAACGGGAATAACCCACAAAATTAAAAGAAAATATATATATATTGCTGTGATAAAATAATTACGGATTTATGTATGGCTCTAGTCATGTGTGGATATTGTATATAAAAAAAGAAAAAAGTAAATTCGCAACAATCTTTCAATCCATATTTAGGAATGATCTTGAGAGGACATGATGTATTAATTATATATTTGGAACAATGTATAAAAAGCCATTGCCAATTTAAAAAGACTGTTTAATGCATATTATATATGTTTCGACTTCACAACAAAATTAACTAATAAGGAAATTACAACATAAATTAGATATAATTTCAAAATTATTCAACTGGAACCCTATTTGCCCTATATTCCTATTTTTTAAAATATACTTAGTTTTAAAATATCACTTTTATAAAATTTTTATTTTAAAAAAGTGCACATTCATACTTCCATTACCTCTGTGTTTTTCATGGTTTTGTGTTTGTTGGAACGATTTTGCAATATTTACTTGATATATTTTTATTTATTGAAGTCACAGTTTTTAGCATATGTAAAATGTAATGTTAATTATAAATAATTAATTAATTATAATAATTTAATATATGTTTTAGTGTTATATTTGCTCGAGTCAGTTAAGTATTTAAGTTAGGAAACAAACGTCTTTCTTTGAATAATACAGAAAATAACACACAGTTTTGGAAACCATATAAAAATAGACCTATGTATAAATATGTATATATAGTATATAATATCAATAATGTACGAATATTATATAACTTTAACTATTATTTGCAGCTAAGAAGTTATATACATATGTAGCAATTAACAACTTTTTAAGTCAATATATAATTATTGGACTGATAGATAGAGGCAAGGGTTAACAACAATATGTATTAAAAGATATAATAATAAATAAATGTTACACTACCATTTAAGTGAATAATACATAATGACAACATTGGTAGAAATCACACAGACGTAAGCGATTATGTAAATATAATACTTGAAAAATAATGAACATTTTTGAAATATATAGAATTAAAATACATTATGTACGCTTTAATAATAAAAACAATAATGTTGAAAAGTGTAGCTATGTATATTTTGTATTACCATTTTGGACTACTATTAACGTAGTGACGATGGTCAACGTGGGTGTGTACAAGGCATCTGCCCAGCAAACCATTTCTATCGCGGAAGAGTCGCAGGCGACTCTTCTAGAAGATTTCTGATCTTCCGTCGAAAGAAAATTGGGCACGAAAGCGACTTTTCTAAAGAACTTGCAGAAGTCTTTTTTCTGTTTTTATTCGTGTCATATTATTTTTCTCAATTTAGCAAGTGTCAGTTAAAAACAAATATTGTAAATTCTAAAAATTAATTACATTTAATTAAACAATATAAAAGTTTTACTTCTTCATATATTGCGAATGAAATTAGGTACCAAAGATCAACCGCAAAGGCAAAAGAACAAAGTCCGACCAAATGAACAGAGATATTTTAAAATAAGTGGTTGTTATTTTTGTTCTCTCTCAAAAGCAAAGGGATTTGTGTTTGTAAAATTCCTTTGCTCTCAGACGCACTCTCTGCTTTGCCTCTAAGCACCGGTACATTGTTTTATATTCCTTCATTTCTTTGTTTTTGGCGTTACTTCAAAAATCGCCAAATGATTGCCTGCAAGACTAATCCTCCAGCAGTCGCCACCGCGACTTTCAGAAGACTCTTCTTGGCAAGCGGCGATTTAACAATCGCCAAATGGTTTGCAGGGCCATATAAATATATACAAATATACACGCAGAATTTAATTTTAGGTAACGAAAATCGTCATATGGGCACCTAAATGCTAAGGAAATGAAAAAGAAACCATTCCTAACTAAAAATTCATTTGCATCATGAACTTTCTGCAGCTCACGAACATTGGACTTTTGCTGATTGGGATACTGTAGACATAATAAATTCCTAACCCTATGTAACCGGACGAAAGAATAATTTATCGTTTTGATTCTGATGGCCAATCCTGGTATTTGGCCAGAGATCCTAACATCCAGTCACCAAGTAATGACAAGCCGTCAAGCACGGGGGTGGCTCAATTACGGTCTGGGGGTCCATTTGTAAAAGTGGAGTTGGTCCCTTGGTGTTAATCGATGGAATAATGCAAAGGAAGCAAAATTTTAACATTTGAAAAGAATATAGTGCAGAAGTGATCGATAATACATGTATTTCTGCTAAAAAATGCATTTTTCAACCAGATACTGAACCAAAGCATAACTGCCTTTTGGTCAAAATTTGTTACAAAATAGAGTCCTGCTAAAACGCAATTGACCTAATAGGTAGTTCCTCCGATTGGGATAGAGCTGTGGGAAAGGACGAATGGTATGCTTTCCCCCCGAAATGGCCCAAGTCGCGAAGGAGAATTGAACAAGTCAAAGCGGGTCTGGACACAATATTAAAGAATAATTGACAAAAATATTTGTTACAAAACATACGCAGAGCAAAATTGTAAAATTTTATATTTTTTACAGTTGGCTTTCGCATTTTCTCTTTTTTTTTGTTCCTTTTATCAAATAGCATAAACATAGTATATAAAACTACCAACAAAACAAGGCTACATTTTCAGAATGCAATAAGATACTGCAGTTAGAGTTATCGAACAGTAACAGTTTTGCTCGTTGTTTACATTTAACATAGGCAGAAGTCAGTGCCATTAGTTCAGCTCATTTCAGGCAGATCTGGCAAATTTGGAAATTGAAAAGCTAATAAAGTGGCATCAGCTTATAGCCTTAAATCTAGCCAATTTTAGATTTAACGTTTATAATATATATTGTGCTTAAATAAAATATTTCGAATGATAAATCCTTCCACGAACAATAATGTGCGAAAAATACGAACTCTGAAGTTCACAACGGCTGAAACAGTTCATATAACTAAATTATCAAAGACAAATACAATATTTGTATGAAAGAGGGAAACCTTAAAAAGAATCATGGACAGACGGACATGGCTAGATCGACTCGGCTGTTGATGCTGATCAAGAATATATATACTTTATATGGTCGGAGGTGACTCCTTCACTGCGTTGCAAACGTCTGACTAAAATTATAATAACCTGTCAACAAATTATGACCTCAAAATTTACCCACCACAGTTTTACCCTCTTCGTATCGTACTTCATTCAAATTTAATTTCTTTCTCACACCCGCTCTGGAAATCTCCAACATCCATTTTTAGTACAGCCGGTTTAAGCAAGGCCGACTTTAGTTGAGATGCAGGAAAAATTTAGAATTGCGGGAATTTATTTTTAATGTATGTACAAATTTAGATTTTTTCCGCTTGGCCTCACAGGGATAAGACGGACGGAGACAAGGGCATTTTGCAGCTATTGCAAGACAACAGTGAAAGCGAAATTGAGCAACAAAAGACATTAGTTCAATGGGTAGGTTTCACATCATTAAACATGTTTGGTTCTTAATAAGAGAAAATATTAAGGACTCAAAAACCTCTTAACTTTTAAATTTTAGCTTTGTTTTTAAATAAAAAAAGTGGCGGCACTGGTTCTAAGCCATTTGCCTCTCACTCTCTCTCTGTTTTGAAACCGTGTTCTTTAGTGTATAAATGTTATTTATTTTTTTAAAAAAGGAAAAAAATTTGTTTTTAAATTTTGTATAATTAAATGAAAAGTCAGAGCACATTATAGTTTTTAGGTTTTCTTTGTGATTTAAGTTTTGACATCACCAAAGGAACTACCAACGCCCACGTCCGCCAGAGGAGCCACCGCCTCCTCTTCCTCTATTGAATCCACCTCCGCCACCGCCACGCCCTCTAAATCCACCGCCGCTTCCAAAATTATTTCTTCCGCCACCCCTCGCACCGCCGCGTCCACCTAGCGATAATATAAAAATAATATATTTAATACAGTACAAAACTTGATGTATTTTATTGACTTTACCTGATCCACCGCGGGTTGAACCACCCCGGAAGCCAGACATAGCACCAGCTCCACCGCGACTGGACTTCTTCTGAACTCCTTTCGGTTGTGGAGGCTTAGGAAGAAATCTAGCGATTGGCAATAGTTTGCCAGGATCGATATATAATGATTGATTCGGATTGAAGCTGTTAGCATAGACGTTATCCGATAATTTGACGGATACGAAAAAGTCACGAACTGTTCCAAATATTTCATCAATTTTTCCTATTTGTTCCTTATTTTCAAGAAATATGGGAGCATTAAAATACGGGACATCTTGGATTTCGACTTTGCAGACCAAATCGTTTTGACAGGAGTAAACAAAGTTGCCCAATGGAATGACACGATCTGGTGGGCCTATAAATTATACTATGTGTTTAGTATGAAATTAACTTTTAAGAAAGAAATAAATTACCATTATCAAAAGTTCCTCGTCCACCACGAGGGCCACCTCTGTTAAATCCACCGCCGCCGCCACGAAATCCTCTGCCAGAACCATTACCACTAGGCCGTCCAAATCCCATTTCGAATTTATACTCAATTTAATAACAAACTCAAAAACACGTGCGAAACTAAATAAGAAATATCGTGTGACCGCAGTTAGTTAGTTACAAAATATAGCAAAATACCTCGTTGAATGTCATAAAGTTGAGAAAATACCGTATTCCCACTGTACACAGTGTAATGCACCCGATACAGGTTTTTCATTTATTTGCCAGATTGAATTGAATTAAAAAACCAGCAGCGGGTGCATCGAGATCTCAGAAATCTGCAAGGCGAACTACGGAGCTGTCCCATTTGGTCCTTGACGACCTACGGTTTTCTTATTTATTTATTTCTTATTGATATTTATATTACTCGTTATCTCTTTTCTTCCTCATTTTATTATTTTTTGCAACCTGCTTTGAAAATACTTAAAGTGTACAGTAAGGAATCTCTTAATGCCATCTAACTTTCTAGTAATTTGATTTCGTGTTGCTGTATTGCCCTTTAAAACTGCGGTACACCCGTTCTAAAAAACTTGCATCTTGATCTACCGTACTTTAAGAAGAACTTTAAATTAAGAACACACATTCCATCCGTTTGAAACTTTTGAGATTTTTCACAGAGCTCCATCTCAACCCACCATTCGATAACAGCAGATCGAACAGCTGCTGGCTGTTCAAATCATAAACAAATATGGTTAAAGTGGCTTCTGTGCAACAAAAATGAATAAGCTTCCAACAATTTTGGCTGTGCAACAACAGAAAAACTGCAGATTGCGGTATATCCAATTACCACTACATTAAAATAAATTAGATGACGGAGATTCAGAGACTTTCGTATGAATTTTTGTTTCACAAAGGGGAAATATATTAAAAATAAAGTATAAATAGGTGTCTTTTTTAAAATAGTAGCAATTCGAGAAAATTAGGTGCAAGAATACAACTTTAAACATCGACGAGTGCTTTAAGAGATACTTTTAAATATTTCAACTATTCCTTGCCATATTTGCTTACATGTTCTTTGTAAATAGTCAAATTTTCACAGCCTAACGCATATATTATTCTACACAAATGTCCTCAATAACCCCCCACTTCTCAGACGGCAGACTACCGTCGGCGTGAAGGTCATGCACCAGGGCAATAGCCAGACTGTCTCTGGCCAGTTCACTGAATTTCTTTGCTTTGCTGACGAAGGTTGTTGCTCTACCCTGTGGGTCCTTCGCCCTCCTAGGTGCTGTGAACTATTGCACTTTGCCTGAGTTAGCCGATTTATAAGTTTCGTATTCCGCGATCGACGCGAGGGATTTGGCCTGGTCTTCGGCGTCCCGAGGTTCGGTCTTTCCCTCAGCCTCACTCTTGGTTATCTTGCCGAGAATAAAGCGGACTCTATTGATCTTTTCTCTCCTTTGTTGGTGTGTGAGCTTTTATCTCTACGGTGCACTATGGGGCGAACGACTTTCTGACCAAAATCCATTTTGTAAAAGTCGTTAAATTGCATGTTTTGTAACCTGTTTGTATTCAAATAACATAAATTTGTAATGTTACATACAAGAAATTTTACCAGAGTACGCCACTCTTAAGTCAACAGCTCTTAAGTCAGCTATTAGGACCGCCTTACTGTGGTGTCCCAATAATCTTCTTTATGTTTTAATCCTATAAAAAAACAACAATTTTAGTGAATTAAAATTAAAAAAAAAAAAGGACCTACAAAGTGAAAACCCTGAAATGCTCTCATAAAACTTGTTACATTGATGCTAGTTTAAAAGTGCACTTTTGTGCACATTCTCTGAAATTTAACTTTATAGGTACTAACATTACCTATTAAAAATAGCGTGTTTTTTACATATAAAACGCTGAAACTGAAGGATATCTACGGATATTGGAATTTTTTATTTATAGTATACTAAATATGTATACTTCCAACACTTTTTACAGAAAATTCGGTTTTCCAGATCGTTTTTCTGAAAAAGAGTGTGAGAATCATAGAATACTGCATAGATGCATTGATCGCTTGAGCCATGCAAAAAGAGCCATGTAGTTTTGTGTAAAAAATATATTAAATCGATCATTTTTACACAATTTTATTAATATTCAATAAAAATTAATATGTTATAAAAAAATTAAAAAATTTGTTTACACTGAAATAAAATTACATCCCTGAAACATGGTGGGAGAGTATAGACGCAGTTACTGCAGATGACTCGGTCATTTGTTTATCCCCCTGTGTACTTATCAGCTGTCGGCCAACTAAATTTAAGCTTGAAAATAAATTGTTTGCCTGTAATCATTTGACTTAAGTTATTCGGTCTGTTATGTATAAAATACAAAATTAGGATGTTCAAATGAGTAATATAAAAAAATAATAATAAAACTATATTATATAAATGCGATAGGAAAGATCGAAAAATTATAATTACTTTTTTTTAGGTTAGAATTATCACCATAGCATATACATAGCTACCGTAGGAATGTTTGGTGAATTAATCCAACAACTACTACGAGTGTGAGCTGTGGAAATAAAATAAAAGAGTTCAGCAAGGAGTTTTCTGACGTGAAACTTAATTAATATTTTGATTTCACGTCGTCTACAGGCCTACAGAACGGCGCTCAAATATGTCCGTTCCCTTTGGATCTCTTTCACTGCTTGTCGTGACCAAAGAAATTGAAGAAAATGCGCGCAAATGGTCACACTGAAAAATTCAGCCTGCTTTTTGCTGTAAATAAGCTTTATAAAGTAAAATTAAGAGGAACTCAAACGAATTGGATATTGGAATACTATTTATTGATGTATTCGCCGTTATGGAGCTGAAGACACAGCACAGCCATCGACACACAAGACATTATTTTTGTGTTTTACATGACTTTTGTGACTTAAGCCGCATATGATAGGCAATTACTAATTCCAACATTTTCTTGCCGGTAAGCAAATTGTTCCATGCAAATAATATTTGTTCCCTTACATATTTCTCCATCTTGGCTTTTAAAATATATACGGTTCATTATTTTTCTCTTTAAATCAAAGCTGTAAAGTTTTTTGATCCGGTAACGCATTACATATATGTATGTACATATGTATGTACATATCTCTTGCAACATTTCTCTTAAAGCGAAAGCACCGAAAATTGTTCTTCTTTTTACTACCTTTTTTATGGAGTTTTGCTGCTTGAAGAATATTAACAAGCTTAAGTAACAATTAACTTTATTGGGGTCTGCTCAAGAAAGTTTTAGAATATTCCCATATTTTGTTTAGGTACATGAACGGTATCTTTACTTAATGCTTGTTTAACCTTTTTAATCATATGAGCGGCCACCGCATACATAAGAATAAACATACATATGTACATCATTGCGTGTGCTGAAACAATACCTACATGAAGTCCTAAGTTCTGTAATATTAAAATTCTACAGTCGTTACAGTTCATCATTCTTCATCTTTCCAAGTGAACGCACGTGTTTAATTTAATCTTCTATCTTGTGTTCAATAACTTCCCATTCAGCATGCTGATATTCTTATTTGTGTATTTAATTGAGCTTATTCCTTAATTTTAGTCGTGCTGCTAGTGCTAGTAGTGTTACTACGTGGGTTAGAATTAAAGTTTTTAGTTTGGGAAGACCATCTACGTAAGAGATTAGTGTGTAAAAGCATTATAATTTGCACATAATACTCTAAAAGGTTCACGTAGCTCAAAGGCGGTTCCACCAAAGACTTTACAATCTCTTAAACAAAAGCATATGGCTTTGACTTTGGCTTAACATAAAATAAATGTAACAAGAAAGGAAGCTAACTTCGGCACGCCGAAGTTTATATATCCTTGCAGATAGAACTTCTATGAATAGGAATTCATACAATATAAATTATATATATTTGTGTTAAAAAACAATGAAGTAATACCTGCTTTCATTTCATTCACCTCTATACATATTATATTTGCAGTTTTACGTTCACAGATTTGCATTTTTCCTCTACATCAAACGATCGTTTGTATGGCACCTATATGATATAGTCATCCGATTTTCTTGAAATTAGACACAAAAATTAAGACTAATATAAAATGGCTATACCTCAAATTTTATGAAAATCAGCTGAAAACTGAAAAAGTTATAAATTTATTGTATTAATTTCTCGATCGTTCCTATGGGAGCTATATGATATAGTAGTCCGATTTTCATAAAATTTTATGCAAAATTGTAGAGTATAGTTAAATGCTATATATCAAATTTAATCAAATTTTGTTGAAAACTGAAAATGCTATAATTTTTTTTGTAAAAATTTTCCGATCATTCCTATGGCAGCTATATGATATAGTCGTCCGATCCGGCCCGTTCCAACATATATACGAGTGAGAGCATATAGAAGGCTAACTACAAAGTTTCATTCAGATAGCTTAAAAACTGAGAGACGAGTTTGCGTAGAAACGGACAGACGAACATGGCTAGATCGACTCGGCTGTTGATCCTGATCAAGAATATATATACTTTATATAGTCGAAGGTGCCTCCTTCACTGCGTTGCAAACATCTGACTGAAATTATAATACCTGCATGGGTATATCAAGTTCAATTACGAAATCGGTATTTTGAGTCACATCAAGTTGCTGTATGCGTAGGAGAGTGCTGCAGTCCTGCAGTACCAGTCATCAGAAATTAATCAACGATTCATCAACAGTACAAACTGTTGATGGACATGTCCTAGGCTGTCATCAACAACAATCCATTAACAATTATTGAATGAATCATCAACAAATTCATCAACAATTCATCGATGAATCATCAACAGTTCAACAACAATTCATCGAGGAGTCATCAACAATTCATCAATATATATCAACGGCCGGGCCATGGTACTTCCGACGACTGCCGTCTAAACTACCGTCGTAACTGTATCGTGGGCAGAGCGTCGACTCGGTAGAAGTCGCCATCGGCAGAGCGTCCCCTCGGTAAAAGTCGCAGTCGGCGCGTTGGTGGTTGTTGATGACAGTGGCGGTATTGCAGGTAGAGTCAGAAAATATCGCTGTATGCGTGAGAGAGCTGCTGGCTCTAGAGTCAGCACGAAAGAGCGGCAGGTTGGAGCGCTCTCTCGCTGGTTTTTGAACGAAATGTGAAAAAGCCTGAAGCTAGTTTAAAAGCCCACGAAAATATCGTGTGCAAAAAATCGAATGACGTTACGGATCTTCAACACTGTACTGTCTTTGGTTCTACAGTGGTGCAACAATAAGGGTACGCGGAGTCTATTAGACTAGGTAGGTAATCTTGCATCCCAATTCAAACCGCGTTGAGCAAAAAGTAAAAAGTTCTTTTGAACATATTCGATGCGTTTATTATGGCCGCCGTACTGCGGGCTCCAAACTCAAGATCCATACTCTGATAGATAGGACGAACTAATAAAATATAAAAGGGCTTAGTAACATAGGGGTCATTGAATTTATTCGACCACCGTTTAATAAATCCAAGCATACCCCTGGCTCTATTCACCATAGACGAAATTTGATCGATAAAGTCAAGTTTAGGGTCCAAGCGGACGAGCAAATCATCAACTGAATTAATTATTAAGATCTGTTTGCAAATCCGACTGGCAGGCCACGTCTTTATATTGCACACAAAGCTTGACGTCGTCAGCGTACATAAGTACTCTAGAGATAGTCAGAACTTTGGGCAGGTCTTTAATAAATAATGAAAACAATAACGGACCCAAATGACTACCTTAAGGGACGCCAGAAGTAACCCTGAGAACATTAGATAACATATTTTAAAGGCTTGACTCCAACTAAAAAGATCCACTGGGAATCCCATTAAATCGAGTTTCCTAATAAGAAGGGAATGGTTACCAGAGTCAAATGCTTTACTAAAATCAGTATAGATTACATCTGCCTGAAAGTTAATATGGAATCCCTTTATAATATAGGAAAAGAGCTCGAAAAGATTAGTAGTTGTTAATTTTCGCTTTATAAAACAATGTTGATATGGTGAAATAACTGATCTACAAAGGTGCTGCAAATGGAGTTATTATTTCTTAGAGATTCCTCTATAATTGTTGGCATCCGATTTGCTCCCTTTTTCGTGGAGAGGAATAATATACGATTTCTTCCAAATAAGGGCAAAGTGGGAGGTTTCTAAGGATAAGGTAAACAATTTCAAAAGAGAAGAAATTAAAAAAAATTAAGTTCGATTTTGGGTATGACGTAAGAATAAGTCTGAATTAAATCCGATGAGTTTGAATACGTTGCTTGAAAAAACTGCGAAAAATTGGGGCTATTGCCTAATCATTATTTTCGGTATAAAACTGTTTTGGGTCTTGTGAGAACTGGACCCAGCAACGACTTATATCATATAGCTGCCATAGAAATGATCCTTTACTGTAGACGAAAATATTGTGAGCGTATAACTGAAACTGTAAAACTATAAATATGTTAAACAAGCTGGCTCGGCGAACTTTGTCTCGCCCCTAATTAATGTTTTATTTAACCCCATATTGATCATAAAACACAGATATTTCAAATTACTTTGTAATTTATTTGAATTTCATCAGTTCAGAGCGGTTTAACAAACTATATTTTTTTATTTATTTTCCGGTGCAAAAATAAACGACGAATACGGCTTTACAACACGGGAACATGCAACGTACTGACCATGCGCAAAAGAAGGATATTGAAGTTTAACCCCAAAGACATTCAACGATTGGCCTTGCGATTTCTTGATTGTCATTGGAAAAACCAACGGAACTGGAAAAAGAGATGAGAGAGGAGATGCTTGCCACCAAACGAAAACGCTCCGCTGAGAGTGCCGTAAAGGACACTCCGGGAAGCAAGCGGCAACGCGTGCCTAAGAAAGCAGGGCCTCCCTGAACGCGGGAAAAGCCAGAACAAAAATCGCGAAGGGCAGTGATTACACGGATCGTGGAAGACCCTGTAGCGCCCATGCCCACATTTGATGGTGCCGGGTGGCTAAATTTGGCCAAAATCCTAAAGTGTATGGATGACACGACGAGAAAGTGTCTGACGCAAACGGTCTGCCAGATGGAAGCACTGTGTGGTGGGGCCGAGCTGGAGGTGGTGGACAGGAACTTATCCCATCCATTCCAAAGGCGAAGGTACTCTTCCCCTTTGCTATTCAAGGGGACCGAGCGCTGAAGCTGCTGCAGTGTCAGAATCCGAATATTCCAAACGCAGACTGGAAGGTACTGCCCATAATAAGTCCGTTACCCAAAAAGGGGGCCAATTGGTGGTTCTCCAGATAACTAAGCTAACCTTATCTCTTATTACAGCATGGATGTCCTGACTGTGGTGATGCTACAAAGCAAGAAGAAGCTCTTACTGGTAGCTTCTTGTTAAATGGCAAACGACAGGCCAGCTCCATCAGATGAGCTCAGGAGCCTCATAGAACCCAGCCCGAAGGACCAGCAACTGCTTGCGCACCGCAGCGTGTGGGGGAGCCCCTATATAAACGATAAATGTGAGTAAGTTTTAGACTTTATACTTTCAACCAACTTATATATAGCAAACGTGAGGGAGGAACACACCTTTGCAGGTCCCACCTCGTCAAACGTGCTAGATATAACATTCATAGCGGGATAAAGTACTAAAGTCAGAATAGAAAGTCCTCGAGAGACCATCCTTCTTTGATCACAAGTACATACTGTTCCAAAACGAATTCGACACTCTCCAAAATTAACTATTTTTAGAAACCCCTGGAATACTAACTGGGGAAAGTTAAAAAAAACAATCGCTAATCGCCAATCAAGAACAAAGGAGTGGACCAGACCACCCTGGTGGAACAGGAATCTTCCGCTCCCATGCAATACATTTTTCAAAATCGGCAAGCAGGCAAAAGATGATGTATATAAGAATAGAAAATTCTGTTAAAGTATTACAAGATGAAAATACGCATTGCGTAAAGAAGCTTTTGGGGAAACTTCTGCTTCAACATTCAGACCCAAAAACGGCTAGACTCTGGAAGTTGTTTTCGAAGCATACCATACAGAGTCTGCTCAAACGTGACAACTGACAGCACTATCGTACGCTCACTTCTCATGTTGCATCTCCTAACAGATTTAAAATCCTCTAGAAAAATCCACCGTGCTATGGAATCCTTCGCGAGGAAAAAACCACCATTACTACACGATACAATTACGAAGGTAGTCCCTTCGGCAGTCAAAGCGCTCGGATTTTGCTTCAGTGCGTATTCGTTTGTCGTAGTGAAAGGTTGTGTGCCGACAAAATTTTGTCAAGCATTAACCCTTATGCAACATGACATTTAAAAAGAAAATCCATTTTAAGCTTAGAATATATTTTTGAATTAAGAACTTGAATAAAAAAGGCTCGTAACACAAAAACAAAAATAATGTCTTATTTGCACTTTAAAATTTTTATAAATTAATATATAAAAAATTGTCTACTCGTTTTAATTAAATTTATTGTCCCATACATCATCAAAGGGTAGCTGCTGCGCATGCAGTCAAGCTGGGCATCACCATCAACGGCAACTGCAGGAAATGTGATGAATCTGAGGCAACCGAAACCCTAGAGCATCTCATGTAAGTGTAAGTGTAAGTGCCCGGCCCTAATGCAGGCAAGATTAAGATACCTAGCAAATGCCGCCAAGAGGACGCCAGGTGAACTTCTTGCCTTCGCAAAAACCACCGCGATCCTCAAGGATTCTTTAATACCACATAACATTCTCCAGTTCCATAAGATAATAACATCCTGATAAATAAGGGCCATACTGGCCTATGCTTGGCGCCCCAAGAGGGCCCTCCCGTTCAACCTTAGTTAACTTAAAGGGGCTGAAATGTCTTCTTCTCTTCGTTGCAAACTTCTGATAACCTGCAACAATATAAAAGAAGAGCCAACTTCGGCACCTTTCGCAGATTGCAATTGGGTCATTGCTAATCGATCAATTTTGTCTTAAAGAAAAAAAACTATCAGAAGGTATTTAAAAAATTCATACATCTTCTTCTATATATATATATAAAAATGCTCTGTTCGTGTCTACATCCTTCATAGACTCGAAAAGTTCTGAACCGTTTAAGCCCAAATTTTTACACAACATGCGTTGAGGTTCCAGCTCGGTTATTGACTACTTTTGATGTTGATAGCTTATCTGCGGTGGCGAATATATCTATTTTTTTAGCGTTTCCAAGTGCCCCTACTGCTGCGCCATCTACAGGCAGCCAGCTGAATCAAAGCATTTCCTGTCAAACATTCAAAACATATTGAAAGAAGAAACTTGAAAAGTTCTGAACCGTTTATGCCCAAATTTTTAGAGAAGATGCGTTGAGGTTCCAGCTCGGTTATTGACTACTTTTGATGTTGATAGCTTATCTGCGGTTGCGAATATATCTATTTTTTAGCGTTTCCCCGTGCCCCTACTACTGCGCCCTCTACAAGCAAATCAAAGCATTTCCTGTCAAACATTAAAAACATATTGAAAGAAGAAATTGGAGATACAAATTTTATTTTTTGTTCAGGTTCAGTAAGAAACGAAGTCATGCCACCAAAGAAGTCGAGATTGGGTCGTCGTATTCGCAATACAGAAGCAAAAAGACGTAAGATTGCGAATATGACTGACGAAGAACGGGCCTCCATCCGAGAGACGCGGCTGCGCGATGAACTTTTACTCATACAGGTTAATGGTTCGGAGGACCGATTGCAATCATATATTGAAATGTCGTCAGTTGTTTCATCAGTACATTGTCGATATGTATGCAAAAATTGAAACAACGTTAGCTGTTCCTCCGATTGAATCAGAAGAAACTTCGGTCCGAGGAATATATACATTTGCGGGATGCTGTGATGAATGACCGTAATACAACCAACGTTGGAAAGCTCACGATTTTGCCATCCTCATACATAGGTAGTCCGAGCCACATGCATGAATATGCTCAAGATGCCATGGCATATGTTCGTTGCTACGGCCGTCCAGACTTATTTATCACCTTCACATGCAATCCAGCTTGGGACGAGATAGTTCAGCTGTTATTTCCTGGACAATCATATAGGGATAGGCATGACATCACAGCCCGTGTTTTTAGACAAAAGCTCAAGTCACTGATGGATTTCATTGTGAAACATGGAGTTTTGGGATCTGAGCGGTGCTGGATGTATTCAGTAGAATGTCAGAAGAGAGGATTGCCGCATGCGCACATACTGATTTGGCTGTATGATAAAATTACTCCAGACGAAATTGACAATGTGATATGCGCTGAGATTCCACGGGCAGAGGTTGATACAGATTTGCATGCAGTTGTCATCAAGAACATGATCCATGGCCCATGTGGTACCCTCAACCGAAGTTCACCATGCATGGTAGACGGGAAGTGTTCCAAGCGATATCCTCGAGCATTTACAGCCAACACCGTAACAGGGGACGATGGATATCCTCTGTATAGGAGACGGTCAACTGAAGATGGAGGGACTTCGGCAACTTTAAACATGAGAATTGGTGATATTGAGGTAGACAATCGTTGGGTGGTTCCATACTCAACACCATTGTCAAAATCATACAAAGCGCACATCAACGTAGAATATTGCAATTCCGTGAAATCGATTAAATATATCTGCAAGTACGTGAATAAAGGCAGCGATATGGCAGTTTTTGGTGTTCAGGCAGAAAATGGGGACAGCAATGCAGTACGAGTTGTCGATGAAATATCTCAATACCAGGCTGGAAGATACAAAAGCAGCAACGAGGTTGCATGGAGAATTTGTTCGTTCCCCATTCATGAACGCTATCCAGCTTTAGTTCACTTGGCAGTCCATTTGGAGAATGGTCAACGTATCTATTTCACAGAAAGAAATGTGCAAGAAAGAGTCCTGAATCCGCCAGCGACAACTCTGACTGCCTTCTTCACCTTATGCCAGAAAGATGATTTTGCCGGAACATTGATGTATTCAGAAGTGCCCTCTTAACCACAATATGCCACAGAGAAACGTGGCAGGGTACAGCTAGTATGATATAATAATTATGTTTTGATCAATTTTAAATCTATATAACATCGCAGAAAATAACTGTATGTCACTTTTATGTTATCCAATATTGGTTATATTATAATTATATAAATTGAAAAACAATTCTACAATTTATTACAATTACCTATACCATTTTTTCTTTTTTACAGTTCAACACTCAGTTCTTGACTTTCTTTTGCTTTGACGAATAGTTCCCATAGCAGCTTATTGACATATTAACCCGATTTATGTTATTTTAGTCAAGTCTATTTTGCTCAGAAACACATGGCTAGAATATCTTGTTTGTCTATGCTGATCAAGATAGGTCAGTATAAAGGCGGATCGAAAAGAAAATGTTGATATGGTGAAAAGTTTCACAGTGATGTGGTTAGTGAGAACGGTACTTTGAATTAATTATTTATTTTCTCATTGTTTCATATCCAACGCTCAACAATAGTGTACATCGACGCATGTCCGTCAAATTAGCGTCGATGAGTTAGCGTCGAAATGGAACGAATCCATTCCAATATGGATTGTTCTCATACGGTCACTTTAAACATGACAGCTTTGTTGACTTGGAATATTATAGGTAAATTAATATGTCCAATAATAAGGCTTCAAGGTTTTTTTTCTTGTTATTGCAAGATATTGCCTTAACTTTAAACAAGTGACAACGACTTAGGTGTGTGCATTAGCCTTTATTTGAAAAATCATAGCTTTGTACATATAAACAAATTCAAACATGTATGTTTAACTATTAGATAGAAATCTTACGTCGTACGTCGAAGTTCAATGGCTATTTCTTATTTATTTGCTTATATACAATATGGGAATTCAATAACGTTTTAAATATAAACACCAAAGTATTTGTACAATCAAAATCAAAATAACTACTATTTTATTGTACATTTTATTGTTTTTTATATATTTTAGTTAAAATAATTAATGGTTATAATATATTATTTCTTACATATTTTAGTAATAATAAGAAACAGGCAATAATGGGAAATTGCTTGAAAATAAGCAACACTTCCGACGACATTTCACTTTTGCGAGGCAATGACGGTGTTAATGGTTCAAATATTGAAACACAGGAGCCAGTAAATCATGTAAGTAAACATATGTATGTATATAAACAAATGTATATACATATGCACATCATGTACATCTTTAGAATCATTTTTCAGTTTCCCTATGACTCAATGCATAATGCATACTAAGTAAACATGTATAATTGTAATTTTGTCATTGCAGCAGGTTGAACAATATCAACGCGTATTTCACCCTACGACCTCCTCCGCTTCCGTATCCGTAACACCATCTATCATTCGACGACAACAAAATTTGACAGAGGACGAGGATCACGTTAAGCTGGCAAAGCGTATTGGTTTAATGCAACATTTGCCCATTGGGACATACGATGGTAGTTCAAAAAAGGCACGAGAATGTGTTATCTGTATGGCAGAATTTTGCGTGGACGAAACTGTGCGCTATCTGCCTTGCATGCATATTTATCATGTCAATTGCATTGATGATTGGTTAATGCGAAGCCTAACATGCCCGAGTTGCTTAGAGCCCGTCGATGCTGCCTTACTCACCAGCTATGAGACAACATAGCGTCAATACACATATACATACATACGTCTTTATCAATTTTACTGTTAGTAGTTGACAGAAAAAATCACATTAAAAACTATTTTCCAAGTTGGGCAAACATTATAAAAATAAATTATTTTAGACTTGAAGTATCTATTATTTATTTTTCGCTTTGTATCTGTTTTTATTCGATATTTGGCAAATATGTATGTAATGTAAGTAATGAATGTTAAGCTCTAGTATATGTACATATGTATATACCAATTTATACATATTTTTTAACCAATTAAAATATTTATTTTATTATTATAAGCATATTATAAACACATAATACGAAAATATATAAATATACGATTTATAAACCATTTGTTTTTATTTTTTAAATAAAATAAATAACAAGCAATGATACCAAAGCGAACTGTCAGACTATTATTTTTAGTGGTAGCCACGTCCTTATATATTATAACCTTGTATGATAATATACTTTTGGCATTTCCGAGCATTTACATAAGTCCTGTGCAGGTCCTTTGCAGGACATATTTTGTACCCAGCCATAGGTAGACTGATTATTATATCTTTATTTGTTGATGGCACTGCTCCAATAATCGAATCCACCCAGACAGGTAATATGCATGATTTAAAGCATTACAATATATATTTAACAGTTCAAACATTACACCGTTTTGATTTGATTCCGTTGCCCGTCAACTCGTCGCTTGGCTGCCACGAAGTCTCGAAAGCTGACGGTATCCAAATGGACGTCAGCGTCAGCGCCCGGCAATCGTTTTGCAAGCACTGCAGTTTCGGCCACCGTGCGCCAGTTGCACCGTTTCCATGTCATTCTATTGCCGCCTTTTGAATCCGAAGTTCGGATATTGCAGTTCTGTCTCGGCAAGGAGTGCGGGGGAAAGGTGGACGTATATATATACTTTTTTTTTTTTAAAGCGCGGTTCCCACGCCCAACTCACCGAGAGACGCCCAAGACTTTTTTTTTTGACATTACTTTTCTGTTTTGTAACTACGGCAAAGTATTTTTTAGCAATTGTAAGGATACTAAAAATCTTGATAAAAAAATGTGTAAATTTAAATAATATAGTCAATTTACGGCACGATTTTGTTTTTATTTTAAATATTCGAATCGAAACTCACAGGTCAGATTTTTCATTTGTTCGCGGGTTTGAATGCTGGCTTTGCTTTTTGTTTGTATATAGTACATATTTGTTTTTTGATTTAATTTTTGTATACAAATATTTTTACCAACAATATATGAACAAGAATTTATAAAGAGAGATAAGCAATGCATTGACTTAATGGTAATTTTTTTTGTTTCTGTCAACTACTGTTTTTGTGTATCGTTCGCTATCCCTTAAGTTGTCCTTTTGTCATTTCTTGATAAGCAGTCGGGATTAAAGTTTCGATATTTGTTCTGAAATACAGGCTATTGTTGGTAATTAAGAGATAAAAACATTTTTATAATTGTGGCCAAAATACATTTTTTTTAGCGATTTGATAATGTACCGTTCGTCAGCATTTACATATAAATATTTAAATATTCTTCAGTTCGTACCAAAAAAATATATATATAATCTTTAAACAAGAAAGGAAGCTAACTTCGGCATGCCGAAGTTTATATACCCTTGCAGATAGAACTTCGATGACTTCCTGGATTCCTTCAATACAATATAAAATATATATATTAATGTTAAAAAACAATGAAGTAATACCTGCTTTCATTTCATTCACTTATACATATTATATTTTCAGTTTTACATTCACAGATTTGCATTTTTGCTCCACATCTAACGATCGTTTGTATGGCACCTATATGATATAGTAGTCCGATTTACATAAAATGTTATGCAAAATTGTAGAGTATAGTAAAATGGCTATATCTCAAATTTGATCCAATTCTATTGAAAACTGAAAAAGTTAAAAAAAATTTTGTAAAAATTTTCCGATCATTCCTATGGCAGCTATATGATATAGTCGTTCGATTTTCATGAAATTTGACCCAAAGTTTAAGACTAATATAAAATGGCTATACCTCTAATTTGATGAAAATCAGTTGAAAACTGAAAAAGGTTATAAATTTAATTGTATTAATTTCTCGATCATTTCTATGGCAGCTATATGATATAGTAATCCGATTTTCATAAAATTTTACACAAAATTTTAGAATAATATGAAATGGCTATATTTCAAATTTGAATAAATTCTGTTGAAAACTAAAAATGTAATCGCCACCGCGATTGTCAGTCTTCCGACAACAGCCACCGCCATTTTCATTCCTCTCAAATTTCTCAATCGTTCCTATGGGAGCTATATGATATATTAGTCCGATTTTCATAAAATTTTACACAGATTAATATGAAATGGCTATATCTCAAATTTGATCAAATTCTGTTGAAAACTAAAAATTGTATAATTTTTTTTGTAAAACTTTTCCGATCATTCCTATGACAGCTATATGATATAGTTGTCCGATCCGGCCCGTTCCGACATATATACGAGTGAGAGTATATAGAAGACTAACTGCAAAGTTTCATTCAGATAGCTTCAAAACTGAGAGACTAGTTTGCGTAGAAACGGACAGACGGACAGACGGACATGGCTAGATCGACTCGGCTGTTGATCCTGATCAAGAATATATATACTTTATATAGTCGGAGGTGCCTCCTTCACTGCGTTGCAAACTTCTGACTGAAATTATAATACCCTGCAAAGGTATAAAAACATATACATATACATAGACATATGTAAATGTTTCACATCTCTCTTGGTAAGTTTTGGATTGTTTTCTCATTTGGCCGAAATAAGGCGTTTTCAAAAGAACATATTGCAACCTTCAAGGGTATACAAAGTTTGGCGTCCTGAAATTGCCTTCTAAGAACTTAATTGCATTTTTTTAATACTTACTTAAGTATCCGTTAATTTTTAGCGTAGAATAAATTAATAGATTTGCATTATTTTTAAATCTTCACTCGCTTTATTTTAAATGTATTGAGTTACAATAATTGATGGCTTTTGTTTTTTTTTTTTTTCGATTACATTTTGAGATTTTGTGTGTGTTGATAGGATGTGATTACGATCATTTATTTTTATATAATAATTTAATAAACTTGAATTTTATTTTGGGCACAATCATTTCTAATCTTTCTTATTTTGTAAAAATTTAATTCTCGTTTTATTATAAATTTTTTAGAAATCCAATTAGGAATATAGTTGTCCAAGTATCAGATGTCAAGTATCTTGTAATTTACCTTCTTTATGATAAGCAACTTTTTTAAACATATTTAAAGCAGGATTTGATTTTTTGTATCATAAAAACAGATTTAATATATAACATAGATATACACAGAGTTGTCACACAGAAATGAGAAAATACTTTCAAAATTATTTAAAAACGTGCGAATACATTTTGTAAGGACTTTTTAAACCGCTTTTCAAGTGATTCCTAAATGTATACACTTTTTGCCATAATGTGAAAAGGTCCATATTTTTTTCATCAGAAAAAATTATGTGTAGGTTTTGTATTTATGTTTGAGTGCGGGTGAATCTTTGAAACGGCGGCTTCAGTGTTACCTTGCCGATCTTTAAAACCGATTTCAGTGTGACCTGTCCGTGCGATAAATCTCATTGCTTTATATTAAACTGCCGTTTCAGTGTGACTGTGCGATGATAAGCGTTCGACATCGATTTCGGGTATGGTCAGCTCATCGGGTATATTATCTGCATATTCAATGGAAGACGTTTCCGACAATCGCTTGCTCAGCGATGTCTGCTTGCGCAGTACCTCAGCCAGCGACGTATTGTTCGTATGATCACCATAACGTGAATCTAGGCCTTGACGAAAAGCGTTCACCACACGAATCTAATTCACAAAAACAAATTAAATAAAAAATGAAGAGAGAGGAGAAAACGAGACACAAGAAAGAGAAAACAGTGACAAAAAATAGACGGAGAAACTACAGTAATATATAATAGTAGAGCAGCATTTTAATTTGTGAGTCAGGCTTTTAATATTAATTTAAATGCAATTTCAAATACACAAACAAGTTCTGTTTAAGAATAAACACATGGCCAAGTTAAGCACTTATTAACATCATATGCAGTGTATGTATGTATGTATGTATGAACCAATGCAACATAAAGTAATAAATAATAGCATTATTGTATTATGTTTAAAGGCAATAGTTGTTTTTTCCCTAGCTTTTATATCAGACGGAACGAGTAAACACAGGAAAAAAGCAATCTACAGCTTTTGATTAAGTAATCACTATTAATTTGAATCACTTTTATCTGCAATTGACCCGATCATAAAATGCATTCACTTAAAAAATACTCTTTAAATATCATGCAAATTAAACTATGATAGGACAAGAAAAGGATCTAGAGTAAATAATAGAAATACTCAATTTTTTAAATAAAGTAAGAATGATCAATTATCAATATATATTTCCGACTGAAATTATTTCGGTAAACCGAAATGGTTTCAATTCTATTTATTCTATACAAATATATATGTCTTGCAATTTATTTAAGAAAGGTGTGTGTATAAAATTCTTCTTTTTAAGAACATTAATACAGACATACATTATATCCTAAAGTATTTTTACTCCGGCTCCAGATTTAGAAGATCCAAAAAAGTACGGTATTGAGAGGGTAAAACTGTTTGTGAGCGCGAATAAGTTTATTCTTTTGCGATGAGAACGCTTTCTTCACTACTTCTTCGGCATTTTTAAAGCGCAAACGTTGCGGTCATACTTTGTTGACCCGGCTCTTTTGAAACTTAAGACCATTTCAACATTTATTGCTTGGGTTTTTATTAATTATTGTCCCATAGCGATTGACCTGCATTCTAGCAGTACCGCCTCCCTTGGACAGCTCCCAGACGCCTTAATATTATAGTCACCTGGAATACCTGTACAAGGAACTTAGATGATTTGATACGGGTAGATCGGTGTCCGGTTCATGAAAGAACATGGTAGTACCACCCATCGGGTCAGACCAGGAAGAACATGGTCTACGAAATCGTTCTGGCAAATGTCTGACGTTTGATAATCTGTTCCAGCAAGTAGAGCTGTCGAGCCATCCAACTTCCTAGTATATTTAATTTCGTTTCTCGTACAGGGCTTGAAAACAGCCGTTTTAAATTATTTGCATATCGCTCTTTCTCACTGCTTGAAAACGGTGTTTTACGCTCTCCATACCGTGCTATAGTAAAGATATTTTTTGGTAATGCTGTGTAGCAATGCTGCCAGATCGCTAACGCAAAAATTGCTTAGTTCGAACAAAAAACCGATAAAAACGGCCAAAAATAGTCTATTAAAATTTACTTTTCAAAAAGTTATACATATATTTAAGAAAAAAATATCAATTGCTAGAAAGAAACATCATTTTTGTATCTAAGTCAAAATGAAAAAAAAAATATATACAATTTGCGGATTTTATACTATTATCATATTCGTTTCAAAAAATATACGCTCGACTTTAGTGTTTGACCATAGAAATAAAAAACTATTCAGGATAAATTCAGCCCAACATTTTTTGTCGTCCACACAACGTAATTTTAAAATTGAATTCTAGTTTCTTCAATGTTTTTAAATCCAAAATACTTGCGAGTCCATTCTTTAAACTCGTCGTCTTAATGATTGGCTTCACGAAAATGTTGCTTATACATTTTCGGCATCTTTACCTCCACGTCAAGTTGATCACAGTAATTCATACAATCGAGTTAAATACTAGTTCCCATACCTTTTTCAACCCTTTTTAATCGGAACTATTTCACTCAATATACAAAAAGGCATACAAAAATTACGTAAATTCTAATGAAATACATCATGAATAGTTTTTTGCAGTAATATAAAATAAAACGGGTAGCTAATAGCATTAACAAAAATTTAATTTGTTTTTAACGTTTTCAGATCTAACCCCTAAAATGCTAAACTGGCAGCACTGCTGTGTACCTGATAAACTAACAAATCTTAATTATTAATACAAGGAAGCTAACTTCGGTACGCCGAAGTTTGTATACCCTTGCAGATTAAAATTCGATCACTAGGAATAAATGCAATATTAATTATAAATATTTGTGTTAAACAACAATGAAGTAATACCTGCTTTCAGTTCATTCACCTATACATATTATATTTACAGTTTTACATACACATTTTTACATTTTGCTCTATTTTTAACGATCGTTTGTATGGCAGCTATATGATATAGTAGTCAGATTTTTATAAAATTTGACACCATATTTTATATTAATATATAATATGGCTAAATATCAAATCTGTTCAAAACTGGAAAAGTTTTTTTTCTACAAATTTTCCGATCGTTCCTATGGTAGCTACATATATGATATAGTCGTCCGACCTGGCTTATTCCGACATATGTATATACGAGTAATAGTATTTAAAAGACTAACAAAGTTTCATTGAGATATGTAGCTTCAAAACTGGGGGACTAGTTTGCGTAGAAGCGGACACACGGACGGACAGACGGACATGGCTAGATCGACTCGGCTGTTGATGCTGATCAAGAATTTACATATATACTTTAGTTCGAAATTACTCTTTCAGTGTGTTCCATACTGAAATTATAATACACTGCAAGGGAATAATAAGGGGATCTAACGCGTACCATAAAATATAGTATTCACGTATGACTCTCGAAGCGGACAGACTTTTGCATACTTTTATTATAATTTTTAGCGTTCTAAATGTGTTATATTAGTATTATATTTTGTTATCAATTTAATTTTTTGTTTTGTTTTAATTAATTGAAATAATGACAAAATATAATTGTAAATAATAATAATAACATTTTTTAGAAGTCTTACAGCTTGATCAGTGTTGCTCTTGCTATAGGGGACCGGTATCAAGCGTTCTTGCAATTCGCCGCCTATTACCTTTAAGGATTAAAAAAGAGAAAGATAGAAAAGTAAAAATATATAAAACAATAAATAAATGTGGGAGGAAAAGAGAGAGAAATATATATATATATATATATATATATATAGAAATAGAATTTTTAAGTTGTTTAGCAGCTACATTTTTGTTTGGTTTTTAACATTACATTAAGCAAATAAAATTAAGCTTAAAAGATGAAATAAGAAAATATATATTTACTTTGCGTAATACACAGGTACTTCTTTTTTAATATGTGTAAGTAAAGGATAGTGTATTTATTCTAAATTCTGGTAAGGACATGAAAGTTTTGTGTTGTAATTTCATTCTTGAAATATAAACTACGTGATTTACTTGCAATATAACCTAGAAAAGATTTTTAATCTTCTCATAATTCCCAATGAAAATTCCTAATTTGTTTATTACCTTTAAAAAAAAAGCGATGAAAAAGATACATGTATATTCCCAAAGAAAATTTTTCCTGAATTATTAGTGCTAGGAATTAAAATCCATATTATTAAATAACAGATTACACCGGTAAACTTAGTCTTAAATTCTTAAAGTACTATTTTTGCATTTTAAATTTGTTGACGATGTATTGATATTATTCCAAAAATTTCAGAGTGTGTCGAATTGGACAATATATATGAAAAATAATTGATATCAATTTGAAATACTATATCTTGGATACCAATTAAGATTTTTCGGAATTTAAAAACTGTATTTTAAGGGAAAAAACAGTACTTTAAGCTCCCTTACCGATCCTTTCTAAAGTTTTTTGGAAATTTTTTTTCTGTCCTGTGCTATTTTTTGAGGACCAAATCGATTTTCTCTGAATAGGACAAAAATAGGTATTATTTTATGTTTATATTAGAAGGCTGCAGATATATGTATATGTATATACATAGGCTTCGAAATATTTTACTACAGTTTCCACTTCAAGGATCACGTGTGAGACCGGTTTCTACACGTCAAAGCCAAAGTAATTTTTAACTTTGTTTTCTTTGTAACCAAAAAAATTGGAAATAAATTTCGATTAAAATTCATTTGCATTTTAAGCCATACTCACATGAACCAAGAGAAAAGAAACAAGGAAAATAAAAAAGAAAATGTTAATTTGGATTTTGGTTAGTACATGTAATACATAATAAATTTAATGTTTTTGTAAAATTAAAAGTTAATATTAATACATTTCCATGCTTAAAATTTTTCAAATGACATATGTGTATGGATAGCCATTATTAGTTACTAAAGAGCACACATTTTGAGAAAATATTAAATTAAATCAGGCCAGATACAATCGGATAATTATTAGCTAATTAATTGTATTTCCGTTTGACGAATATAGACATTTATAATTTTACCGGGCATATAAAAATATTGCTTCAAACTAAACCGCGGGTCGAGAGCTCTACAGATTTTAAGGATTTTAAAATAGAGATGGAACATTTTAGTTGTTTTAAGTTATGTATATGTATATTTTCGAAGCTGTATCAGAATATCATGGTTCAGTCGTCTCTTATTGGGTATTATTCACGGAATTATTAAATTCTGGACTCAATCGAAATATAAACTTAAATTCAAATCCAACATGAAATTGTGCTTTATATTTGTTTTAATTGTTTTTCCTGAAGCAAATCTGTAAATTTCGAGCTGGAAGAAACATCGATATAGCGATATTTTTACCATCATTAAGGAGTTTTCTCGTTTTGTTTTTATTTTGCATTTAATCTCTTAGAATAGATAAAAATAGAAATAAGCGTTTATAATAAATTCTTGAGTTAAGACAGCCATGCTTAAAAAAAACCAGTAAAATAAAAATCTTTTAAGCAACACAACTAAATTAAAATGTATAATAAAAATGATTGCATTACAATTTAGAAGAATAAACCAAATCAAAAGGAAAACATTTCGATACCTCGATGTTTGTTTCCCAGCTCTCTACGTGCTAAAATTACTATTTAAATTCGAGTCTCATTCTGTCCATTGGAATATTTTGAAGTTTGCTGTTGGATATCGTTCTTAGTGTTATTACAATGGCTTTGCTGTTCTTGCAAAATGTGAGCAATTTCTGAAAAGCTTGGCAGGGTTGAGGAGGAGTGCGGAGCAGACACATTAATAGAGGGGGGTTGCGGCGATGTACGCTGCTGCTGTTGCGGATCTTCGTCAATGTAAGAGATATCCGAAGGCAGCGGCTGCAGTTGCGGTTGTGGGTGTGGGTGTGGCGGTGCCTTTGGCTGCTGAGACTGCTGCTTGTTGTAATTTGGGCTCAGCAGGTGGTTAAAATTGTACAAGGGGTGGCCCCCAAGGCCGCCCGAACGTGGACTGCGTAAGCTATGCAAGCTGTGCATCGATCTCCGTTCGTTTAGGTCTTCCAATGTCGAGCGAAAAGCGCGAATCACACGCAACTGAAACAAATGAAATTAGACAAAGAACAGAAACAGAAAACGGTAAAACAGTAAACAAAAAGATAAACTCAACGAATCAACGAAAAAATTGGCAATACAAGTTAATAAAAATAATTATAATAATAGGCATATATATATATAGTACAGTCTAATAATGAATAAAATATGCATGTATATGTAAGTATGTATGTATATTAGAGCTGTGAAAAATCGATTTTACTATCGATACTACTTCTTCTCAACCTAATCATTAAATGAAGCTAAAGCAAAAAAGGTAGCTAACTTCGGCACGCCAAAGGGTGTATGTATATCTTTCAAGATTGCAATTATTATTAATACAATATAAACTATATATGCATACAACGAAGAAATACCGTCTTCCGAATTTTATAAAATTAAAAACGAAATTCTAGAATAATACAAAATGGCAATATCTAAAATTATATGAAAATATTTTGAAAATTGGAAGAGTAATAATTTGTTTATAAGATATAGTAGTCCTATCCGGCCCGTTCCGAGTGAGAGTATATAGAAGACTAACTGCAAAGCTTCATTCAGATAGCTTCGAAACCAAGAGGCTAGTTTGCATGTGAATGATCGGACAGACGCACACGGTTAGGTGTACAGTTGATGCGATAGTATCGTAACAGTTCAAAATGTGTGCCTCGAAACATCGAGAAACATCAGTGGCACCAGCATTGATATTGTACGGCTCTAATAAATAGTTATATACATATGCATGTATGTATGTACTTGTAGTTATAATCATATTGAATTGTAAATATTTATTATGTGTATATTGAAAATTTTTAATGCTTACATATAAGAATACACCAATAATGCACACAATTCAAGTATTAAAACAAAAATAATTAAAAAATCGAAAAAGCTGACTTTAAAATATAACAGCAATTACGAAATATGTTGGAAAGCAAAGCCCCTAAAGGATGGGCCGGGACAGACAGAACATTTTTCACATTTTGAAACTCTTTTATATTTAAAAATCAGAAAATCGGGTTTCTCTTATATGGAATTGTTTTTTATCGCTATGCTCATTGAAATTACACATTTTTTTTAATACTTAAATTTCCTAGACGAAAAGTAAGAAAAAAAAGGAAGCTAAATAAGGCATGCCGAAGTTTTTATACCCTTGCAGATTGCAATTCGATCACTACATTCATTACATTTAATTAAGTTTTACAGTTACAGTTTTACATTCATAGTGTTGCATTTTCCTCTATATCTAACGATCGTTTGAATAGCAGCTATAAGTTATACTCGTCCGATTTTAATAAAGTCGAAATTATAGATTAATATAAAATAACTAAATTTTACATTTGATAAATATATGTTAAAAAATGAATGATTATTTTCTCGATCGTTCCTATGGCTGCTATATGATATAGCAGTCCGATTTATATTAAACTTAAAACGAAATTCTAGAATACTGGCTATATTTCAGATTCAATGAATATATGGGCAATTCTCCAGAAAATTAAAATTAAACTAAAGTCTTTTTTTTTTAGTTTGAATGCGTACGAATGTCGCATTCGACATCAGAGAATTGTTCATTTGTTGATAACTCAAAGATTTATAATTTTTAATAGTATTTATGTCTAGAATAATACAAAAAGGCTATATTTGAGGAAAATCCGGTGGAATCTTAAAAAGTTACATATATACGAGTGAGAGTATACAGAAGACTAACTGCAAATGTTTTATTTAGTTAGCTTCAAGTCAGACAGACAGACAGACTGATAAATGGCTAAATCGACTCGGCTGTCTATGCTGCTCAGGAATATATATTAAACTAAAATTATAATACACAGCAGGGGTATCAAATTGTTTTTAATTCAAGCATACTCAAAGACGAAATCAACTATGAACCTTACTATGGGTCCCATTCCCATACAACTTAATTTTTAGCAACAGTTCAATAAAAATGTATTACAAAAAAAAAGCAATGCATGCGAACAATAATTAGTTTAAAATACAAACAGAAGCAATAAGGGTGCTAAGAATACAAATGTAAGTAATAAAAACATTCCATTAGAAGGCAAAGTGGTCTCGCTTTTACCATTTACTAAGAATTTGTTATTTTCAAAATAGTAAAACAACCACGCAGTTTAAGCAATACTAACTTAACACTTGGAAAATAACATCCATAACGTAATAATACAAAATAAGAATTCATTATATTAGCATACAATGATTTATTTTAGGTATTGGTTTAAAGAAGTGCTTTGATTAGTTTGCAGGGTCGTTCTTTAACTATTCAGACGTGGCTTTTATTTTCAACATCTCGCAAAGGATGACAAACGACGACTTCTTGTACAGCTCGCATTATTAAAGAGGGTCTTAAAAGTATCGGCTATTGTTTAAATGGCGAACTAATTACGAGTTGCCAGATCGTTTAAACCGCTCCGATTACGCCGCGAAAGGAACCTGCCTATCCTGCCTGCGAATCCCACATTTGTATAAATAAATTAAAAACCATTTAGTAGGAATTTTAAAGCTTTCACTGGGGGGGGGTGAGTTAGGTTAACTCGATGAAAACGAACATTGTTAAATAAAAAGAATAAATAATAAAATAA